ATCACAGCTGATAAAACCTTTACTCTACCTTCTCCATACCTATACCTCCACACTTACCCTCCATTACAGCAAAAGTATATAATCCAACTATATATCATCATCTGGAAGTACAGAAACCACAATTTTCGCACAGAAGATTTGATGTTTCTCCTCTGTAACTAAATAACTTAGTACTAATACACCACCTCTTACCTAGAATGTCTTAGTAAGATGCTAAACAACTGGGACACCTAATTTAAGAGTTGGGACCAGAGTCCTTCTAGCTATTCATAGGTGTATCTAACTACAATAGCCCCTAATCCCCTAGATGGGTGAAGCCGAGTAACCCACTAGGAAATAACACCTTCTACAGTGGAGAAAGCATACATAGTGTCAATGTAAATAAATGAGATCATACATACAGGGGCCTGTGTCTTTTAAGACACTATATCTGAGTGCTAAAAAGAATGAAAAAGGAAAAAAAAAAAAAAAGAAAAAGAAAAAAAAAAAAAAAAACAAATCTGTTTAAGGGTTTGGTTAATGGTTTGATATGTTTATTGAAAATTTTCAAACTTTCATAATATATCATATACATGTATTCCGGTTCAACAAATATATTTATCCCACGGAAAAGTTTCCATATGTTGACAGCCTATTCTGAAGTCTGTTATACGAACTGTAGATACAAAAGACGAAAACTAGCTTGGAAAACGACAGATATGTGTCAAACAGGTCTAGTTACTTTGTATTATCCCAAATATGAAACTATTGCTTTTGTTTAATGCTGACGCATGTGCACATTCTGCATGTCTTAACAATACCAATTTATAATGAAATGGATTAATCCGAGGAAAATGTTTTATAAGATTAAAATATTAAATTAATGAAATCAACATCTGGGAAATATTATATCTTGAATGAAGTCAACTTTAACTTAAATTGCATCTCACTTTGATAAATCGTTATGTCGTGACATAGGCCAGTGCTCTTATGAAACAGTGTTCCCATTGCCACTAAGTTCCATCAAGATCGGAGGAAAATTAAAAATTACAAGCCAAAAGTGACCCGTCAAGGGCAATAGCTCAAATCATTGCTAATTAGGAATTACGGCCTACTGTGAAAGTTCTGATATCGCTCTACAACATATTAGTATTAAGGTAATGAATGGCAGACATTTTTTATTTTCCGGAACTATGTCCAAATTGTCACAGATCACGTGATTCCGGTAATTTAAATATCAGAAGCTGGTCTTTCCTACGATATGGGTACAAAATGATTGTAGAATTTATAATTGGTAAACCGATAGTCACAATAAAGATATTAACTGCATAATTTTGTGTCGGGATTATTTCCATCTATACAGGCTATAGACTTTATCCTGGTCGCAATATTACTACCTCTTGACAAAAAAGAAATGCGAAATACCGGAAGTATAATAGTCTCAGAGAGACTCAGCTTTACGGAAACTATCAAGGATTGCAGAAAGCAAGCAAACTTGACGCGTATAGTCAAGGACTATAAGCAAAAATCGTTCATCTAATTTTGCACTTGGCAAATCTCATTAATGTACATTGATACCAAGTTTCGGCAAGGTAGTTCTTGCCCTGTTCGCTTGATGAGTTCAGCTTTATTGTTAGTTTGTTCTCAGCCTAATGCACTAATGGACAATTAGAAGAACTATTACTCAAAATTACCGACAAAGGTCGGGAAATGAGTTAATGATCACCATCCCACATCATCACACATTAACCGATTTGACATTTAAAATAGAATACAACATTCATTTGAAAGTATTATTTCATTCCACCATGTTGAAAATAAAGATGAAGTTAGTAGTTTTTATATTATTATTGATGATGCTTTCGAACAGTTCGGGTAAGTTTTAAAGTGTTTGAATAGCTAGAGGGGAAATATGTATTAATAACAGCAATATGCCTATAATTTCATCTGTTAAATTATAATATGTGTTTTGTTTTTGTTTTTGTTTTTGTTTTTTGAAAATATTAGGCAATGGGATTATTAACTGTTCATTAACCTTCTACGCCAGACCAAAAGTTGTGCTGGGATATTACGAATATTTACGTATACCATTAACAACAACTACAGTGTATGCGCTAATATCTCCTGAGCACCTGACATCAACTTCAAATTACATTTTGAAATTCAAATTGGCAACCATCAAAAATCAGTAATTGTCGATATTTCTTGATCTATGCCAGATATAAACCCGTTCTCGGTGCCTACATGTACATTTTTGGGGTCGGGTGAATCCAATGGTACCACGGTTTTCCGATAGGCTGAGTTAAAATAATATATGTTAAGCAAGGCACGTGGCGTAAATAGCTTGTACCATAAAATGATTGACAGCTTTGACTTATTACGGCATTGATCACGATACCGTTTTTTCCAATCGAATAGAACCACGAAATCATGAGTATTGTTTTTTTAAAAAGGGGATGGAGCTTCTGCCATGCAATAACATCAAAGTGGAACGGTTGTAGCATACCAAAGCTCCATCTACTTTCCTCTAAGATTCTATTTGGCTTATTATGATATCGAGTTTGGTACGAAAACAAATTGCTGATAATAGGCCATGGTTTTCCTTGAACACGCATGTTGAGCTATTTATTATCATAGGAATAAATGACATTTATGTTATAAGCACGTATTTTTTCTGCGAAATTAAACATGGTGGCAGTTGTAGGTATCGGTTCAATAGATGTTTTGTACGATGAAACTGGGAGGATGCACTGTATCTACGACAAGCCACAAAATTATTTTTTACAGAGCCTGTAGATGGCTTCAGAGTATCTCGGACAAAAATGATAGATACTACCTAAACTATTGGACTCCTTTCCTGTCTCTTTTAGATTTGAATTATGGATTGTGATTTGTTAGGTATCATCTTCACAATGTCAAGCTATACGAATTTCGTCTTATATATTGACTGCTATATCCACCACCCTTGTTTCATAGAATACATCGATGTCATTGGATTGGAATCAGCATCCTCAACATACGGACTGTAGACATAATTGCTTCGTGTTAACAGACTATTAGTCAGTCTTTGATTGGTTGTATACACTTGCTTACCATCCAATCTGCAATACAACAAAGTTGCCTATTGAATCAAGGTACGAAGATCGCAATTGCTTGACTTTTGTTGGTTTTGACTGATGGAATACTATTGGCGATCAAACATAGATTTTAATCGCGGGGACGTAGCCATAGAATTGGTTGTATGCTGGTCTGTCCTTATTTTGTTTACTTTTACTTTCAGGTATAAGACGCAAAAATTATGATACGCAGTGCTTTTATAATAATAGAATATATGAGATTGGTGATAAATTTTATAAGAAAAACGATGATTGCAATTATTGTACCTGTGAACCCACAACAGACATAGACTATTCCGAGCCCGTTGTATCGTGTACAGATATCGCTTGTGATGTACCTCTTTGACATTCTTTATACATTTAATAAATTGTTTAAATACAAGCTCTTGTATCAATCAGAATTGGATGTGGAATAAAGAGAGGGAAAATTTTATCTTGTTTTGTAAAGGCTCTTATGAAATGTAGAACGTGTACATCGTCGTCAAAGATCCATAAAACTGAATGAATCATACCTTGCCAAGTACCCATAAGAGCGTCCAATCATACTAATGATGGCTCGGGTGAATGGTATCTTATAATGAATATATTGATCAGTTTTATAACCTTTTGTGTTTCAAAGCGGTTTTGGTTCAAAAACTAAAGAATTGAAGCAATGCTATCCATATTGCCACCCATTAGCCGTCCGGATAATGATATATAAAACACCGAAATATGCCTTAATACCTATTATGACAGTTTTTCCAGGTGGCAAATAAAAACAGTGTGATGAAAATCTAGAATCAGTACCCGACTATAATTACCTGGGCAATCAATCAAATTCACAATAAGCTTGATTGAAACATAAGTAATAATAAAGGGATATAAAGAATATAACTCGTGCTGATGAAATATTGTAACATATTTATATTTATTTAACAAAAGTAACAAGGCTAAGCTAAAGAATCAAATATCAAATGAATACAAAACACAAATACAGCTTATCCTAGATTTGAGTAACTTTATTTTTATTTTTAATTTTTAAAGTTTTACTAAATTCTAATATTCTTCTCCCCTCCTTCTTCGCCTTCACCTTCTACAGAATCAACTCCAACATCTCTCTCAAGAGCAGCTAAATCTTAGCATACATCAGATCAAACTTATGATCAAAACGGGCCCAGGCTTCTGCAATAGCAGTTGTGTTACTCAACATACAAACATATTTCTGGACCTTTGCTAAATCACCTCCTGGTACAGCAGTTGATGGTTGATAGTTGATACCCACCTTGAAACCTGTGGGACACCAGTCAACGAATTGGGTGGTTCTCTTGGTTTTGATTGTATAGCAGCATTGACATCCTTCGGAACTATATCACCTCGGTACAACATGCAGCAGGCCATGTATTTACCATACGGGGATCACATTTTATTTGCTCAAAACAAACGTGGGTTATTTCAGCCACAGAAAGTTATTCATGGTAAGCTTTCTCAGCAGAAATGACTGGTGCTTAGGTAGCCAACGGGAAATTTATACGTGGGTAGGGTACCAGGTTAGTCTGGAACTCAGTAAGATCAACGTTCAAAGCGCCATCAAATCGAAGTGAGGCAGTGATGGAGCTGACGATTTGACCAATCAATCGGTTCAAGTTGCTATAGGTTGGTCTTTCAATGTCGAGATTTCGGCGACATATATATCATAGATAGCCTCGTTATCCACCATGAAGGCACAGTCGGAATGTTCTAATGTGGTGTGGGTTGTAAGGATAGAGTTGTATGGTTCTACTACTGTAGTTGATACTTGTGGAGCAGAATAAACAGCAAATTCCAATTTTTCTTTCCATAATCGACACTCAATCTTTCCATCAACAAAGAAGAGAAACCAGATCCAGTTCCTCCACCAAAGCTATGAAAAAATAAGAATCCTTGAAGACCAGTACATTGATCAGCCAGCTTCCTGGTTCTGTCGAGTATCAGATCTATGGGTTCTTTGCCCACTGTGTAGTGACCTCGAGCATAGTAATTAGCAGCATCCTCTTTTCCAGTGATGGGTTGCTCAGGATGGAAGAGTTGGCGGTTAGTACCAGTTCGGACTTCATCTACTACTGTTGGTTCCAAATCAACAAATACAGATGAAATGATTATTTCATAGAATCCAAAAGTAAATATGAAAACTCACCATTTTGAAGAATTGATTAAAAGCGACTTGAGTCTGAAGATAAAACACGTGTGAGAAGATTTAAAGCTAACTAAGGCAAGATATTTCCACTGAATGTGATTTGGTTGGTTCTATTTATATTTTTAAAAAGAGATCTGTTTTCATGCTGTTTGTTTGTGGTTAGCTATTGTTGTTTATCAGATGGATTAAGAGATGAATTATACTGTGCAACTCAATATTGGTTATTTCAAGTCGATTAAAAATAATCCGTTAATCTCATTATAGATTTGATTTCATTGTCTGGTATATTCATATTCTATTTCAGTTCTGGGAAGTGATCTTTGATGAACATGGCATTGACCCAACTGGAACTTACCACGGTGATTCAGATCTCCAGTTGGAGAGAATTAACGTTTATTATAATGAAGCTACTGGTGTTTCAGAGTCGCACTTTGTATTCGGACAGTCTAGTGCCGGTAATAACTGGGCTAAAGGTCATTATACAGAAGGTGCTGAAATGGTAGATTCCGTTCTTGATGTGGTCCTAAAGAAGCTGAAAGTTGTGATTGTCTACCTTCTCTGTTTGTCCTTCACCAAAGGTCGAGTGTTTGTGTTACATTTAGGCACAAAAGTTCTGCCTCTAATCCCAGGGTTACAGACGACATATTGGAGCAATGCAATCATTAGGATAATTTGATATTTACTAGGCTAGCCTGAAGATGTACTATTATAATAATTAAGTTTTGGATGACCTAAAACAAAGATAAGATTTATCATAACAAATTCAACTTGAATGTGTGTTTTCGGGTATCTGATACAGTTGTGGAACCTTACAGCCCTCTCAGTTCATCAACTGGTAGAAAACACAGACGAGACTTACTGTATTGATAATGAGGCTCTATGTGATATCTGTTTCCGTACTCTCAAACTGACCACACCCACTTACGGTGATCTAAACCACCTGGTTTCAGCCACTATGTCTGGAGTGACCACCTGTCTCCGATTTCCTGGTCAACTAAACGCCGACTTGAGAAAACTCGCCGTCGACATGGTACCCTTTCCACGTCTACATTTCTTTATGCCAGGATTTGCTCCTCTCACTTCACTCCCAGCAGTATCGAGCTCTGACTGTACCAGAACTCACCCAACAGATGTTTGACGCCAAAAACATGATGGCTCGCCATGGTCGTTATCTGACAGTCGCTGCTATGTTCAGAGGTCGTATGTCAATGAAGGAGGTGGATGAGCAGATGCTGAACGTTCAGAATAAGAACAGTAGCTATTTTGTTGAATATTAAAACTGCTATCTGTGGCATTCCACCAAAAGGTCTAAAAATGTCTGGCAGATTTATTGGTAATACGACAGCCATTCAGGAACTCTTCAAGAGAATCTCAGAACAGTTTACTGCCATGTTCAGAAAAAAGTCTTTTCTCCATTGGTATACTAATGAAAGTATGGATTAGATGGAATTTACTGAAGTTGAATCCAACATGAATGATCTGGTATCTGAATATCAACAGTACCAGGATGCTACAGCTGAAGAGGAGGGGGAATTTGAGGAAGAAGAAGGTGAACAAGAAGATGCTTAGATAGCTGTGACATATATATTTTGTTTGATGTATTAAATCTTTTTATTATTATTTGATTGTCGTACTCTATAAGAGTACTCAGTAAGAATTCAGTCAGCTGGTTTAGTTCTTGTTTAATTAGTTCGATTGCTTTCCTTATACGTCCGAAGCCAGGTTAATAAATTATTTTTGAACTAAGGGTAAATCTTCTGTTTACTGTTACTGGATTTACGATTTGCTCCATTCGGATATATTCATGACAGAATTTGAATGAGAAGTGTATCCTTTTTGCACATTACGTCCTCATTTTTACCTGACGATTAGAGAAACCGTTATGGTGTCCTTGATACACCAGTCTTCAAAGCAATGATTTTACTAATTATGGAAAATTAGTTATCAATATATTCTTGAAAGAAACTGACGCTCACAAACTTTTGTTTAATTGCTCTTTTTCACCAAAACATACATTTTTAGGAATTATATTTCACGCGTGAAAAGGGCTTCGAGAAGGCATGCTTAAAGTTTTGAATTACACACGGTCAACGCCTGTTTTCGGTTCTAGATAGTCGCCAACACCAACTTTAAAGTCACCCAATGCCCGTACCCCCATCGACCAACTATGTATTTTTATTTACGCCCATTGATGTTCAACTGTTATCTGAATAAATAGAGATAGGTTGATAACATTTAGGCTACTCATCTGATATTTCCGTTAAGTAGTTAACATAGTTGTTCTTTTAATAACAATGAATTAAAGATTATGAAACAAAATACTTTTAGAGTCCTTGAAGTTTGAACACTTATCAAAGTTACAACTTATGAAACATTAATGTCTTTGTGTATAGCTAATGTCTATGTCTCATAATCAGACCAGATAATCCAATTTGGTCTTCTGGATTTTCTATCAGAAATAGTTCTGTTAATTGGTTGGTACAAATTTGGATTTGTTACTTGATTGATCAGCCTCTTCATTTGAGGACGCTACTGTGTCTTAAGACATTTCCATCATTATTCCTAACAAAGCAAGATCTGGAGATCCATTTTCTTGTATCAAATTTCCAGATTAATGAGCTTTGTCCTGGTTACAGTCATTTTATATTCTATCAAATATTCGAACTTTCTGTTTCTCTAGAACTTTCTTTCATTCTGCCTTTAATCCCGTTTGGAATGATAGTTTAAGTTGACATTTTGCAACAGGCAGGAATTCTTGTCCTCAATTGTCTTCCAAATAAAAGTTGAGATGGATATTTGTCATGTGAAACTGAACTATCCCTGTAATTCAATAAAGCTAAGTATAGATCCTGGTTTTCAGATTTGGATTTTTATGAGAATTTTCTTCACAATACCAACATATCTTTCTGCTAATCCACTGCTTCTGGGATAATGTGGTGAGGATGTTTCATGATTTATACCCCAATTTGCTGTAAAATGACGAAATTTATTATTAGCAAAATTAGTACCATTATCAGTTATGAGAGTGTTTGGAATTGCATGTGTTGCAAATATTGACTTCATCTGAGTTATGGTAGTTTCTGCAGACATATTTTTCAATTTGTTACTTCTAAATAATTTGAATAGTTGTCCACAAGTAACAAATATTCTGAGTTGTCAAAATGAAAACAATCAGCGTCCAATTTCGTCAATGGCAACTTTGTTGATTCTTAAAAGTTTGACAGGTTTCATAATTTTCACATATTTTGGCTATATCTTTTGAAATACCAATCCAAACCATACAGTATCTTGCTCTGCGCAGTCATTTTTCAAACCCTAAATGTCATTTTCCATTTTTTCAAGTCTGGTACTTGTCTTTGTCACTGTTTCACGAAATAAATCCAACATTTCATTACTAAATGGACAATATGAACATAATACTCAAGTTCTTTTAATAATCCAAAATCTTCCTTTTTTTAGGTATATTAGATGCCCTAGAAAACGTTTCAGCTATCTTCAATGATTTTCCATGGATCCATTGATACTCAATGATGTATTTCAGTAATCGTAGCATTAATCTATAGCTATCCAAGGCGGACAGAAACTTAAATAGAAATTTCAAACGTTTGTGATCATTTGTCACTTTAAATTTTACACCATAAACCAATTGGTGGAAACGTTTTGCAGCAAATACAATTGATAATCTGAGAGTAGTTCTTCTCTGCATCAGTCAATGATCTCGAAATAAATGCAACTGGGTGGTCATCTTGAAGTAACGTACCTCCAAGACAATACTGAGAAGCATCTGATGTCACAATTATTTCCTTCTTAGGATCAAAGAATTTCAGTACTGGTGCTTCTGTCAGCTTGATTTTTAGCTGTTAAAATTTTCTGAAGATACAAATATACTATTTCCTTTCACTAAATCCCGTAATAAAGCTTTTTTGTGGGATAAATTTGGAATAAAATTACCATGGATACATTCCAAGAAATCTGTGCAACTCTTCTTTTGAAGTAGGACTTAGCATTTTAAAAATTGAGGATATTCTCTCTAGATCTATTCGCTGACCTTCACTTGATATAACACCTGTTTTATTCATTTCACACTTTTGTTCATTAAGCTTGAGATTATATATTATTATGGGCTTCCTTGTGATCTGCCTGTTTAGATGATTCGGTAACACATGAGCATGAGCACCACTCAGTAAATATCTGACAGGGCAACATTTATCAGAATGTTTATATCCACATCTTTGACATGACTTTTTAGAACTCTGGTTAGATTCACTTTTCGTCTTGAATTTATCTTACATAAAACGTAAAGTAAATAAAACATATTTGACAATTAAAGTTCTGTCTACAACAACTGATAGCGCTAAAGCATATGTTCGGATTCAAGCCAAATAAACGCCAAATGTAGAGAAATAGACTAGTCCGAAACATCTGCCTCTATTTCAGCCTCCGATGGATATTTTGACAGTTGTCAGCTGTAGCTGTAAAGTCAGAAGAAAAAGATTTCTCTAGCATACTATTTAATTACCTTTCAGATGAAGTCTTTGAATGGCATTTAGCAATTGCGAGTACGATATATAGACACAGCTTCGTTTCGCAAGGTTTCGACGTGTTTCCCCCGTCGTCCTCAGGCACATAATGATGGGCAAACTATATATACATTAATGCTTATTATTAAGAACACACAAGAGATAATATTGGTTTATTGATACATTACATTAAATTTTAACAGGTACAATAAGAGGTGTATAATTCTTAAAATAACATACAGGCTGATTAAGTAAAATAATTGAAATAAAGTAAATGAATTGGAGTCTTTTATTAATAGAAATTACATTGTTCAAATAACTAACTATGGTTTAAGTAGAAATCTTTTATTAAATTGGATACATTTATGTATATGAATAATTACAAGTTGATGAGTTTATCATATGCATGCGATAAACGAACACCTTCATCTCTGTTAAGGTCAGGCTGATATCTTCTGATGTGGATAGCTTCATGAAGTCTCCTGGTTTTATCTATGTGCTTATTGATTGTCAGTATGTTGGTGTTGTCAAAGTTGACTTTTAACCTGTTTTCCTTCCCATAGCAAGATGTTCAGCCAAAGCAGATGTTCCTTCATTTCTGGGCTTGTCTTGATGATCTTTGAGTCGAACATCAAGGGGTCTCTGTGTTTCCCCTATATAAGAACTTCCACAGAAGCACTCAACTTGGTAGACACATCCCTTAGGTTTTTGGTTGTTGGAGGGATTCAATTTACCACTGGCTCTGAGCAAATCTTTAAGCGTTGAGTTGCCAGAGAACACTGCTTCAATGCCGACTGACTTTTTCAGGATCTTCTTGATTTGGTATGATGCCTTTCCGATGATTGGGATAGCTAAGCATAGCAATAATGTATATATAGTTTGCCGATCACTTCTTCTCATTTTAAATAGCCAATGCTAGATCAGTTTCGCCCAAAAATACTTTGATGATACCGGAGACATGAAATAAATGGTGTAGAGAGAAAAAGATGGTATGACTGAACTAAAAAAAATATTCATCTTTCCAAATATACTTGGGTTTAGCAGATTCGAGTTATCTAAATAGGTTTTAAACCCCTGCACCTGCAGAGATGCGGAATGTCCCCATTGAACAGGGCTTATTATTTCTGTCTCTACATATGTCCAAATAGCTATCAGAGGCTGGAATAGAGACAGATCGATGTTTCGGTCTAATCTCCATCTTGAGGTTTCAATAAAAAATAATCTAGCCTGGGTAAAAACTGGGTAAAACTCATTAGGTCTACTAAATACGAAGGTTAGGCCTATCGGTAACCCTTTTTTTAAAGACATTCAGATTGAAGATTGTACATAAGCCCTATACTGCCCCTTACAATAAACGTTTTTGGGCACCTAAATGTAGGCTTAGAAGGCTCCAATTACAGAGCGACATTCCTGGCATGAAAAAAAGCGCCCAAGTTGACATTAAACTAGTCCACTGGCACTGTAGGCTATATTCCATTGAAAATTCTTTTTTTCTTTTCTTTTTTTCTTTTTCTTTTTTTATTTATTTCATTAAACCTATACGATGTACGCCAACGGCCAAAAGACGTCTTACTGATCGGTGCAAATCGATCACACAAAAAATTAGAAAAACCTCTTTGCCCTTTAAGTGAGATCTCACCATGACTATGAGCCAAGGGTTGTTTTTTTCGATCTATTCGTGTCCGTTTCAGCCCATTCTCCTGTTAAGTCAGTTTTGTTAAGGGGAGGTAATTATTTTGTTTACATTTTACCGGAAGACTTATTCAACATCCGGATTCAATGACAAAAACAAAAGTGACGTGAATTTTTATTTTTAGCACCTTAAATTGGTGTTTCTGTAATGATTATTCATTTCTGACAAGCAAAAATGTCCTACACATCCACCTTGGACCCTGATGAAGCCTTTGATTATCTTTTTAAGATAGTGTTAATTGGAGATGCAGCCGTTGGTAAAACTTGCGTTGTGCAAAGATTCAAATCAGGAACTTATACAGAAAAACATGGCAGCACCATTGGAGTTGATTTTACCATGAAAACATTAAATATTGATGGTAAATTAGTAAAGGTAGGATTTCTTCTGCGGGAAGTGTTGATTTGATTTGATTTGATTTGAATGAATATCAATGATTAAGGCTACAAAATCGTACAATTTATTTTAAAATGGGAGGCAAAAGATAATTTTTGTTGCTTAAATGAAACAATATGCAGTCAAGTAACCTAATTTCGTGGTAACCTATTTTTGGTGGATTTCCGGAAATGTTTAATAATTTACATGAGCGACCTTGCATTAGCTTGTTTTGATAAACATGGGCTTTCTGTACAATATCAGCTAGTAGAATAAATCCAGTAGTTTCAAGCAAGGTAAAATGTATTAATGTATACTTTGACAAATATACAAAATGGTGGATTTCAGTTATTACCAAACGTCACCATTTTGTATGGGCTGAATTTCCTTATAATCCCATGCGGTAGTCAAAATTCCAAGTGTCGTCTGCTAGAAAGTAGTCCAACGAATGAAGACACGTGATCAACTAACGGGCCATATTCTTATGTTGTTTCAATGACTTTTATCAATAGATCATGCTACGTATCTTATTTTGTCAGTCACTGTTTTTTCTTCTAAATCATTTTTTTTTTTTGAGGGAATTGTTACTAGTTATAATGAATTGATATTAAAGATAAATACTAAGAGAAGTTTATTATACCACTGCGTATCCATACAACGTGTTTTTCTCAACCTATTTATAAATCAAACATTGTACACGAAAATAGGTGATGTATTTTGCCGCCGTTGTCGAATTGGTTACACATGAAATATGGGTCAAAGTGAAGGATTCATAAAGAAAATCGAAATAAACCAATTTTAATTATTTTGTAGAATGTCTTAGGAAACATCAGTGGGCATATGTTACCTTGCCCGGCAAGCTATCTTTTTTTTATGTTTGTCAGCTTACAACATTCAAAATTTTATTTTTAGCTTCAAATATGGGATACTGCTGGACAGGAACGCTTCCGTACCATAACACAGAGTTACTATCGTAGTGCTAATGGTGTTATAATAGCCTATGATATAACAAAACGTTCCACCTTTAACAGTGTACCTAGATGGATTGAAGATGTTAAACGCTATGCAGGCAGTAATATTGTTCAGTTATTAGTGGGTAAGAAGAAGGTTACTATTTTCTTAAGTCATTACTTAATTATAAGTAAAATGAAATTATGTATATAATACATATTATTGTGAAACAGTTCAGCAAAACATGCTCAAATCTGAAATAGATATGTGGAATGGTGACACCTATTATGAGATACTGGAAAGAGTCAGCATGCTTTTTTGATGCATTTGAATATCATGTATATTAAAATTGTAGGAAACAAGAGAGATTTAGAATCCTTGAGAGAAGTCAGCCAAGAAGAAGCTAAGGCTTTTGCCCAGCACCATAGAATGATTGGATCTGAAGAGACAAGCGCCAAAGAAAATACAAATGTTGATGATGCCTTTCTGAAAATGGCTCAGGTAATCCATTATTATTCAACTGTTTTCAGACTAATGTTGCCCAGGGAGCTAGCCAAGCGCCTATATTGTATCATCTAATTTATGTATAGTTTTGTGATATTTGTCTTTTAGGAGTTGAAGAAAAAATATGGTGGAGATGCAGGTATGATGACAAGTTCAGATGATGCAAGAATAGATTTAAATTCACATTCAGTCAGTGGGAAATCAGGAGGATGTTGTGGATAGCCGTGGTCTTAGTGGATTTTTTTTTAACAATATCATGACATTCCTTAAACTAATATGATATGAGAAACACTTGTCATATGTGTTCCATACATTGTCTCTTTTATTTTTGACACATAAACTCTTGAAAGAATTGCATATTTTAAAGTTATGTAGCTGCTGACTAATTTTCAATTCAAACAGATACATGTTCTGTAAATTAAATTGAAACAACATGTTTTTTTAAGGTTCTGTTTTAATATTTATATAACATTAACTATTTAGATAACTTTAAAAGATGATAACATTATCAAGATAGAGCAATGTTTTGATTTTATAAGGTTTCAAGAGAATGTTATAATCAATGAATTCACACACACAATTATTGAAAACTAATTGGAAACAAAATATTTGTTGAGATACTTTGGTTGGTCACTAGCGATGTGAATTATAGTTCACTGTTTAGATATATATAAGTGTAGTTACTTGTCCAGTTCATATCAAAATATGAACTATATTGTTTTTATAAACTTAGATTGTTTATCTTTCTGTGAAATACTTACAAACCTTACTTAATGTTATAGTTCAACTCTTATCCAGTATAGGTCATGAAAAATAGAGAATTAAGTGAATAACGAGCACATATTTATAGGGTAACAAAAAATGATATTTGATGTTTTTGTGTTGGACCCCATTTCTATTGATTAGTAATGTGTCTTTGTTTGGGTTATATTTTCAAATATGTTTCAACATCTTTTAAAGTATATACTTATTGTTTGAAATGTGAAATGTGTTTACTATTTTTCTTTACAATTAATGAAATGATGCTTCATGTGATCAAATTTAAGTTACACAAAGTAAATTGTAGATTAAATCAATGAATATATATGGTATAATGAAGATTGTTGTATTATAATGGTTTAGTATTTTGTGGTAATAATGATGAATATATAATATGTATATATCTGTATTAAGAACATTCCTGTATATATTTGTGAAAAGTATTTATTATCATATGATAGCCTATACTGAATATATGTATGGTCTGCTTGAGTCAAGATAGGTTTGCTGAACTAAGCTTTGAAACCAATACCCATGGCACTTAAAATGTAATAGTTTTTACTAGTAGGAGCTGAAAGCAGTATTTGTGACAATTTGTGATTTCTTATGAGCCTAATAAGGGCTTATGAGGTGTTTATGATCAAGTGGCTCTGGTTTTCTTCCACTTTTGGATAATAATATCATGTAGATCAACAATTTATTAACATATCATCTTCATTGGTTTAATGTGAATTTTTTTCAAGCCTTTTGTCTTCCAGGGTCTCTTAGGGATTTGACTTTAAACATTCATTATTTCCTGAAGTTTACCAAATTATGTTGTCATATGTTTTAATAAGGTTTCTGACATTGGAATACAGAACAGAGCAAAATGAAGCTGTAAATGTTTCTGGTACAAAGGCTCATTTGAATCCATTTGAAGGGACAGGTTCGCCATTGTCCAGAATTATCCCAGTTTGAAAGTTAAAATTAAAAAGACTTTTCTATATAAAAATAGAAAGTGAAGCTCCTAGTTCGGGGTATTATTAGAATTATGCAATTTTAGATATTTCTAATACTGCTGAACACTATTTATATATATTATAATACCCAAATCAACACCCAGAAATTGCGATTCTGTCCCAAATTAATTTAACTTAAGTGAAATACCATATAGCTATGTTTTATATGAAGACCTTTGACTCACATCTAATTGACTTGGTCTCATCACAATGTTCAGCAGAACAGCTTTATTGTACTACCCAGTTTTCTGTTTTGACATTTTAACATGTAAACGAAATGCTAGATTCTATGAGAACTTGTTATATTGTCTCTGATAGTTATATAGAAAATAGGTTGGATAGTGTCATAATCTAAGGCATGAAATCTGTCCAATATAACTATATATCAGAGGGCATTTATGGTAGAAATTCTTATTTTATGTTTCAATAACTTTTTATGTATATTTAATATTATTTTGGAGCAATATAAAACTATGGTGATCTTTAACTTGTTGGGTTTCATTTACGTGTTGTCCTCGGCATTGTTCAGTATTTATTTGTACATTGGTTCTGTAAGCTTTAGATATTTGAGTGCTTGTTGATGAACAGTTTTGCAATTATTTTGAAGCATTTTAATTATGTTACAATTACCTTTAAAAAGGTGTGAAAAGGGACAAAATAAAAAAAAATGAACTTTAATCAGTCCAATGTTGTTATCATTCTAAGAAGCAGATATTACCAATCTGATTTTGGCATGTGAGATTATTTTGGAAATGATGACTGTCTAATGATTTTTTATTGTAATCAATTTATAATCCTGAATAATACATATAAAAACATAAAAAGGTTCATCAGCTGGTATGACTAATATTTTGAACTACATCCCTTTAAATACTTTTGTTTTTCATTCTGATGACAAATGTTCTGAACAAGTTGATTTTGTTTTATAATCATTGAATGTATGAAGTTTTATATTTGTAACTTAATCTCTTTATATTAGCTTTATCATGTTTTATGATTTTTTTTTATGACAAACGGTTTTGATCTCTGTAGCCTAGGGCTCGGAAGTTGTAATATTATATAAATAAAAGTGCTTCCAATATTTGATTAAATTTAAAATATGAAACATCACACTTTATGTGGTGTATGATATGGAATTGATATTTAAAGATGACTTGTTAAGACCCCCTTACAAATGAATTTTGTCAAAATTGAAAACGGAATTTGTTTTTAGATATTCTATAAAAGAATTAAATTGGTTTGTTGTTTTGATTTTCTTTATGAATTCCTCACGTTGACACATATTTCATGAGTAACAAACTCGACAACGCCTGCAAAATGTGTCAACTATTTTCGTGTAAATGTTTGATCAATAAATTAGTCGAGAAAAACACGTTGAATGGATACCCAGTGGTATATTTATCATTTCTTACTATTTATCTTTAATATCAATTCATTATAACTAATGACAATTCCTTCAAAGAACAATGATTTAAAAAAAAATAACGACTGTCAAAAAGGGATAAGTAAAATGTAAAGAGGAATTTATTGCTAAAATTCATTGAAACAACATAAGAATATGGCCCACATTGTGTTCCATAGAATTTTTCTGACATGGAAGCCGCTAGCTTGTCACGTGACTCTGTTAAATGGAATATGTTCTTGCAGACAACACTTGGAATTCCGGTTACAGCTTGGGATTATGACGAATAATTGAAATCCGCCATTTTTATACGCCCACATCTCTCTATGTGGGCGTATATTGTCGGCACCCCCGCCCGTCCGTCAGTCAACATTTGCTTGTAAACGCTCTAAAAACTAGATTTTTTGATGGAATCAAATGAAATTCGGTATATGTATATACATATTCATAAAACGAATTTCAAATTCGAATGTGAGCTATTTTCGACCATTAGAAGCAGAGTTATTGCCCTTGCCCCAAAATCTTGAATATGCTATTACTCCCTTAGTTTTCAACGGATTTTGATGAAACTTAAAATGGATGTTATTGGACCTAAATCGAAAGGTTTGAGGAAGGTCTCTTACGTCAGTTTTGATGAGTTATCGCCCTTTAACCTCTATACAGTAAGTGTTCATATCAACATCAATTTCTCGTAAACACTCTAAAAAGGAATCAAATGAAATTCGGTATTTGCATACATATTCATGAAACGAAGGTCCGTCGGTCCGCCAACATTTGCTTGTAAACGCTCTGAAAACTAGATTTTTTGATGGAATCAAATGAAATTCGGTATGTGTATACATATTCATAAAACGAAGATCAAGTTCGAATTTGGGCTATTTTCAATCTTTAGAAGCAGAGTTATTGCCCTTGCCCCAAAATCTTGAATATGCTACTACTCTCTTAGTTTTCAACGGATTTTGATGAAACTTAAAATGGATATTTCGTTTTTACCATCCGCATGCCGTGGTGGGCGTATATGGCTGTGGTCCACTATCTTATATAATGTTAGAAATAGATAATAGATTTTACATTGCTTTGAAACGATAGGAAAAATTTAGTATGTTGACGTTGTAGAGATAGAGATGTTTATCAAAACATGCAAATGATGAGGTCAAGCGATGTCGCACATGTATTTATTTATCATTTTTGGAGATGCATGAAATTGGATTCGCATGAAATTATATAGGTATATTGTATCTCAAGTGTGTTAAACGGTCAATATCAGGAAACGTTTCTTAGCGTCTAATTATCAATATCACCCAGACCCGTATTTCGTACGGTAATCTCGACAAAGTCGTTGTTCATACTCATTGGATGATTAGATATATTTTTACTAACGCATTAAAAAGGCTACTATTCAAAGGCGAATGCCTTTGGACATTTTTATTTGCCTGAAAGGGAGGCCACTCTATGGCGCGAGATAGTTCCCACAATGCAGCACTATCAGCAGACAACAAAGAGAACATTAATTAGCCTATTACTATTAGTATTATGTTCAAGATAGAGTAAGTTGGGAAACAGAAAATTATATTATTAAATGAAAAAAATCGGCTTTATTCAATGATAAAGTGTGGGAAAACATAATTCTGAGACGATTTATAGTTTCAAATCAATTTTACAGTAGACTCTAGTTTGGCATGTATAGATTTCTAGTAGGCCTGGCCTAGAGAAGGGAAGGGTTGGGGGACCATCTCACCATAGTCATGAAATATGAACAAGCCTAGTCTTAGAGAGTGAAGGAGAAACAGCACTAGCCTTTATGAATTATTGACAGAACTGAACTTGTCAATGTCACGACCGAGTTTATTTTTCCAAGAGCATGAATTGTCTGTCAATGTGTCATTTCTTCAACATTTCACACTTATTTTCTTCAGAACCTCATTTTAGGCCCAGGCTACGCCTAGAGTCTATTAGTCTGTCATATCCTACCTTATATAGAACATTATACTACTAAATCTACCAGAATTTTGCTCACCCCACCCCCTCTAGACTATAAAAAACCACAAAATTCGTATTTATTTGACAGGACATGACACGAGAAATATGGGCCCACTTCCAGGTCTATTAGTTACATGTACAGTCAAGTAACCTAATTTCGTGGAAACCTATTATTCGTGGACTTCCGGAAATGATTAATAATTTACATGAGCGACCTCCGCATTAGTTTTTTTTGATAAACATGGGTTTTCTGTACAATATCAGCTAGTAGAATGAATCCAGTAATTTCAAGCAAGGTAAAATGTATTAATGTATACTTTGACAAATACAAAATGGCGGATTTCAGTTATTACGGTACCAAACGTCACCATTTTTTATCGGCCGAATTTCCTAATAATCACAAGCGGTAATCGGAATTCCAGGTGTCGTCTGCTAGAATGTAGTCTAACGAATGAAGTCACGTGATCAACTAGCGGATTCCGTGTCAGCAGAAAATTTCTATGGAACACAAAGTGGACCATATTCTTATGTTCTTTCAGTGACTTTTAGCAATAAATGACGCTACGTATCTTATTATGTCAGTCACTATTTTTTTTTAAATCGTGGTTCTTTGAAGGAATTGTCACTAGTTATAATGAATTGATATTAAAGATAAATACTAAGAGAAGTTAATTATATCACCCGTTATCCATACAACGTGTTTTTCTCGACTTATTTATAGACCAAACATTGTACACGAAAATAGGTGACGCGTGTTACAGCTGTTGCCGAGTTGGTTGCTCATGAAATATGGGTTAAAGTGAAGGATTCATAAAGAAAATCGAAATAAACCAATTTTAATTATTTTTTAGAAAAACATGAGGAGACATCTAGGACATAAAATTTTTTTTTTTTTTTTTAACTTTGACGAAATTCGGTGTTGAATCCTTATATCCACGAAAATAGGTTACACCACTGTAATATTAGATTTGGATCCAAAACTTATTGATAGTCAAAGATAGAGATTCTACATTCTTATCTTCTTTTTTTCAGACCCCAAAGTCCAACCACGAATGCCAGCCAAATGTATTATCCACAACAACTTCATACACATGGCCAGGTCGACTATAATACCAACGCAAATAATAATATAGAGAATTCCTATGATTCTAACTATAGCCACTTAGATTCCCAAGTCAATTTCTATACACAACCTAATTACAGTTTTAATTCAAGCATCTACTCCCCTAGCGCTCACTGGGTTCCAAATTCAATGCAGACTTACGTTGGTAACAATCAAAATCTACAAAGAGAGTATTGCGTCGTTACTGATTCTCATACGCAGCAACCTTTTTATGCCAGTTTCGGTAGCATTCCATCTAATCAGAGAGTTCTTGTCGAGCAGACAAACATTTTGAATACACCACAGAATACCAGCGCACCTGTTGAGGTTAAGACTAATCCTGTTTACAATGAACACCAAGCAGTTATTACTCATACAGATCGATATGCAGAAGGACTGGAGAACCAAGATCTAAATCTAATGCATTTAAACAGAAATGGCAATGCATCAACACACCAGGCTGAATCTGAAACCAGCATTGCAGCAAAGAATCTGTCGCATGTCTATAACGAGGATCATTTTTCTGAAGACTCAGAATCCCAAGATTCAATCTCATCCCAATCTAGCAGCACCAACATGAGAGCTACTAGAAGTCGAAGTATGAGGATTTACAAACGTCGTGGAACACAGGATTCTGTTGAAAGAACCAACAACAGAGAACTGATGACTATGAAACTGAAGGGAAATCCGTCTTTTTATGACAATCAAATTACTTATGCCAGTGGCGATGGTGACCTTTGTGAGCCACCAGCGAAAGTTTGTGTCATGGAGAAGCCTTCTGAGAATAGAACATTTGAAAACTATCAGATATCTTCTAATGTCCATACCCTGCAACCAAAGCATATAATATCGTGGTATATAGATTATTTGATAGCAGAGAATGAAGATATAACAGAGATGTCAAAATCTTTCACAATGCCGGGTAATATTTTTGCATGCGATGATTTCTATTATATGGAAGTCCTTCAAAAGCCGGTCAATTTTCCAACCTCAAAGTTTATCCATTGGATGAATCGCAATTTCCCTAGTATTAATCTCAATGCCTTAGAGTTTCTCCAGAAAGATCGCCAAATGATACAGCCTTATGATCTGAGAGAATTTTGGAAGTCCAAATCGTCGCATGAAATCATCAAGGAAGTGTTCTATCATTTTCAAGAAAAACGAATTAACAAAAAATGAATGCTCTTTATTTCATAGTTCAAAATGTGATATTTAAACATGATGTGATAAGAACTGCATGTTAAAAACTTTATTTTTTATTCTTGTTTAGTTACGATGTACAGTTCTGAATTCATCTGAAGTATGCTTTTTTCGGTTATTTTTATGCAATTTTATCAATATGCAAATTTGGGCGTATCGTTTCTTGTTTTCTATTCTGTGTGCTACTTCACTTCCTATCCATGATCTGACCAATGTTATTTTGCAAGAATGCTACTGAACATGATTCAGCGAAGAATTTTGTCAGATCGATGATGTGTAGTGACATGCAGAAAAACCACGAAACATCTAGATCTGTATTCCTACCAGATTATCAATAAAAAGTAACATAATCGAATCGTTTTGATAAGGTTTGTAAAAGTGATATTACTGAAAAGTTTGTTTATTATGTTCTTGCAGTTAAAAATGTTAATGTACCATCGTTTTGACTATTGTTTGTAATCCCTTTTCTTTGTCCTATTTTCTTCAAACTATGAAATGGTGCTTTTTACTCTTCAAACTAATATTCCGTGAAATGTATTTGTTATTTATGCATGAGTATTACATTTTTTCTGTTTTTATATAAACTGACACACGCTAATTGGTAAATAAATTATTACTGCTTCCCACATATCAACAAAACATTGCATGTTTCTTTCATATAGTATCACCTTTAAAAATTTTGGATCATTTTAAAATGCTTAAGAATGATGAATCATATCATCAGAAATTACAAAATTGTTTCATTTGGTCCGGCACATATTTATTTAGTCACGTGTGTCATTTTAAGTATCGTAAAAAATCATTCATTTCTTGATTGTGTGTTAATATGAATAATTCAACATATAAAAATATTTAACTTAGCACTTTTTTTTTGTATATTTGTTTTATTAATAGGCACGAAAACTGCGCGTTCGAGGTGGATCACTTGTGGAGGGTCCAGGCTTTAATTCATGCAAAAATATCACAGAACAGTCCCACCAACAAACCCAGAAAACGGTCTATTCTGGTCTTTTGATCTTTTACAATGTTATTAACAATTAATTGAGTCCAGGGTTATATGAGAACCATGTATTGATAACTAGCATTCTTATCTCCTGTAGGTTGGTATCAAATGACAGATGAATTGTTTTTGCAGGAAAAGTAGAATTATATAAAATTAGTATTAGGCTACTCAAATATCAATTTTAATCTCTCAGTTTAAGATTTAATTCTTGATTTTTGTCACAAAAAAAATATTCATTTTCCAAGTGACCATTGCTTGAACAACAACGATATGTATTAATGGAGCATTCTTATATTATATAGAAGGATGAAGTTAAAAGGCTTACAACTAAGGACTGATGGAACTGACTCTAAGTTATGGATAAGACTTAGTTTAGATGCTTTTTAAACGCCCACATGAAATGGGGGCGTATATTGCCGTCACCCATGTCCGTCCGTCGGTCCGTCCACAATTGCTCGTAGACACTCTACAAGACACAATTCTTGACGTATTTTGACAAAACTTGGTATGAGTGTTCGTTTTTGAAAACGCGTTCAATTTTTAGCTCGTAAACACTATAGAAGGCACAATTCTTGACGGATTTTGACGAAAGGATTTTGACTGAAGGTTGAATATTTCATACTGGTGATTGTTACTGTACTGCTAAATATTTTTTTCAAAATCAAGGCTGCCAGGGGGGGTAAATTACCTTGCCTGGCAAGCTATCTTGTTATATACAGTCAAGTAACCTAATTTCGTGCTAACCTATTTTTCGTGCATTTCCGGAAATGATTAATAATTTACATGTGCGACCTCGCGTGACCTCCGCATGGGTTATCTCTACAATATCGGCTAGTAGAATGAATCCAGTAGTTTCAAGTAAGGTAAAATGTATTAATGTATACTTTGACAAATACAAAATGGCGGATTTCACTTATTACCAAACGTTACCATTCTTTATCGGCAGAATTTCCTTATAATCCCAAGCGGTAATCGGAATTCCAAGTGTCGTCTGCTAGAATGTAGTCCAACGAATGAAGTCGCGTGATCAACTAGCGGATTCCGTGTCAGCAGAAAATTTTTATGGAACACAAAGTGGACCATATTCTTATGTTGTTTCAGTGACTTTTAGCAATAAATGACGCTACGTATCTTATTTTGTCAGTCACTATTTTTTTTTAAAATACCGGTAGTGGTTCTTTGAAGGAATTGTCACTAGTTATAATGAATTGATATTAAAGATAACTAGACTTATTTAGAGATCGAACAGTGTACACGAAAATAGGTGACGCATTCTGCCGCCGTTGCGGAGTTGCTCATGAAATATGGGTCAAAGTGAAGGATTCATAAAGAAAATCGAAACAATCCAATTTTAATTATTTTGTAGAATATCTGAGGAAACTCTTTTTAACTTTGACGAAATTCGGTGTTGAATCCTTATATACACAACTGTACTGTTAATCTATCAATTCCAAAATAAAGCGTTTCATTGAATCAAAAAGTAGAAGTCATGTGAAACTCATAGATGGCATTGAATGTATCAATGTTTTCAATTACTATAAACAATTTGACGATTTCTATTCAATAGCGAATTCAATTAATAAGAATTTTTTCCAACAAAAAGAAGACTGCTATAAGCAACAACAACAATTGTGGAACTTTAAAGATTAATACCAAATCTACTGTCTCAAAACGAGACTTTTGATCATTCCTTTCTTGTGGAACCTTTGCGGATTCATCTCGAGATTAAACACCTATTTTCAAATGAGCAATGGCTAAAAATATGCCTTTTTGAACAACATTTTAGAAACTATGTTTGTGATGATGCCACCATCTTCGGTTCTCCATCGTCTATCAAACCTTTTTCAGCTACAAATTCGATATTTGCAAACTGCCGTCGACCACTCTGCTCCATTACCAAACTTCATGTCCATGCCTTGCCTTCGAAAGACTGCAACTGGTGAAATTGAGTACGATTTTGGTAATTTTTATAATTAGCCACAATAATAGTAAATTATTATGTTTTATTTTATAAATCGCGTGTCTTGATATTGGTTATTTTTTATGTATTCTTAATCTTTTGCAAAAAAAAGATCATTTGGTTTCTGAAGTATTTTCTTTCTGCACAAAAAGACCATGATTCTAGTCTATCTTGAACCAATGTTTCCATATTATATTTTAACCAAATGAGTTATATTTTTAAGAGTAATAAATCAAGAATGTCTTCTATCAGTTAAAATGGAAATGTGGACGTATATTACCGTCGCCCCTGTCCGTCGGTCCGTCAAAATTTGTTTGTGAACACTATAGAGACTACAGTTTTCAATTGATTTTAATGGAATTTGGTGTGATCATTTATATTGATGAGATCCTGATCGACTTTGACGATCTTTTGATGAACGGTTTTTGAGTTATTGTCTTTGACTTAGATAAAATGCTTCAAAATTTGTTTATGAACACAATAGAGACCACAGATTTCATTTGATTTTTATGATGAGTGAAATGAAATGAATGGAGTTTTACGTCTTTTTTTTTATATTGATGAGATCTTGATCAAATTTGAATTTTCAACGATTTCACTCTGAACAATTTTTTCGTCCTTGATATTAGAGCTGTGTGATTTAAATTTGATGTAGGGCCTATTTGGGATATTTATATCGATTTTTAAACATTTTGTGGAATTACTCAGCATTACACAATATGAATGGAATTCAAACTAATAAAAATGTCTTTAATATGAGAAAATTCGTACTTTAGTCACAAAAGACTGTTTTATCATTTCTGACAGCTGCCAGTGGGCGTATGTTACCTTGCCTGGCCCCTTCTGTACCCCCGCTGGTTTTACTGTATTTAATCAACCTGACATGATGGGCATTAAAATGGAACACCAGATAAGGATAAATTTTACAAACATGGGGTTAAGCCACCCTGACACTCGCTGGATTTCTGTTAGTGCAATTTCGCGGACTTCGGCGTTCCAATGATTGAACTTGTGTGACGCATTCTCGGCGCACCATCTCTTCGACAATGATTTCAAAGGAGTTACAATTTAAAGTTGATGTGGGTGGTTCAAAAATTGCTAACTTTTACCTGTCCCTGATAAGTATTTTAGTTCGACTTGTTCTAAAAAGTTTGGTATGAGACAGCAAGTTCCAAAATATTTAATAAAGCATTAAAGACATTAGCATAAGATTATCTAGATTAGCTCAAGAATGCATAGTGCTTTTTAGCAATTTAAATAAATATGTGCCGTGCCGTCAATGACGGCGTAAGCAGGGGCGCAGATCGCTTTTTCAATGCGCGGGGACCAGTGACGTACGCAGGATTTATTCAAAAGGGGTCGGACCGTAGGTGCGAATTCGATTGCAGAGTATAGCGGTATGAAAACGTTTCAGTTGAGCTGGTGACACCTTATCTTTATAGCTCTCAGAAATATTATAGGAATAAAGGCACCTTCTTGCATGTTACTGAATTTTAAAATTCGAAAAACGACGCTTCTATGAGTGGATCCCAAAACGAACGAATGGTCTTCCTGTCACTCGACCATAAATTGTTCGAATAGTGCGCCACAGGCGCAATGTCCTGAACCGCCAATACCGTGGCAAAAATTCATGTAACGAGGATCAATTGTCTTATAATAATCTAAAAAAAAACAGGCATAAGTTGAGACGTTTAATGAAGAGTTAAAATAACATAAGAATGAAACAAAAGAAATAGTATTTGGCACTAAACATAAAATCAATATATCACAGATAGTCCTTAAGTAAGAAAAAAAAATATGTAAAATCTTTTATGCATCCCTGGCTCTAACAAATAAAGTAAGATTTTTATCAGTTACTTTTAAATATTTAAAATCAATTCATAGCCATCATAAATTCTCTTAATAAATGCTGTGGATTTATTTGATGAAAACAGTAGAAAAAATCTATTTCATGACTATTTCATGGATAACGATAACGTTTTTACATTTTATCTAGCCCTCTATTAGATATAAGATTAAAAATTTAATTGTGGCAAGTGTGGAATTCAAAATGAGGATTGTTTGTGAAGGCCAGCTTTTTCCTTATAATTTCACAAAACAACATAACTGTGTTGAGTCAATATCAAGTAAAATGAATAAGAATAAATAATGGATTGCATTACGATTAAAGCTGCATTAACTATTTGGAGGGAATTAACAGATTTCCAAGTCACTTATTATTATCATAAACATTTTAAGTTTAACTGTAATAGCAGATAGAGATTAATTTTTCTATCAAGAGTTTGTTAAAGCTCTCAAAAAGCTTAAAAAATCTTTGATGAATCTTATCTAGTAAATTTATAAGATAGCTTGCCACTAGCAGCTTTGATATTAAATAAAAATATTTGGCAGTACAGTAACAATTACCAGTATGAAATATTCAACCTTCAGTCATACACTTCTTTTGAACTTTTTGAGGCGATACTGAATAATATGACCAAGTTTCATCAAAATCTGTCAAGAACTTGGCCTTTTAGAATGTTGACAGGCTAAAACTTGAACGCGTTTTTAAGATCAAGTCCAATAATATTTTTCGATTTTTCTGATTTTCGTCAGGGTTCATCTTTGGGTTATTACTAACACTCCTACCAAGTTTCGTCAATATCCGTCAAGAGTGTTTGTGAGTTAAAAATTGAACGCGTTTTCAAGAACAAGGGCAATAACTCATAATAATTATTTTTCTTTCTTTTCTTTCTGATTTTAAATAGCGTTTATCCTTGGATGATAACAAACACTCATACCAAGTTTCATCAAATTCCGTCAAGACTTGCGCCTTGTAAAGTGTTTACGAGGAATTGTGGACGGAGGGAACAACAGACGGACATACAGACATGGGTGACGACAATATACGCCCCCCCATTTCATGTGGGCGTATAATAAGGATGACAGTTAAAGCTTATTATATAATAATTCATTGATTAATTCATGTAGTATATTATTTGTCATATTACAAATATAAATTATATCAACATTAGGATATTATGTCATGGATGAGGCACAAATAAATGAGTAAATGAAATTCCAACATACTATTTTGTTGAAGGAGATGGAATTTTACTTTTGAATCGATCAGATCTAGTAATAATCTTTCTAATATTAGATTTTGTAAGGCCATTAGAAACTTTATATCCGCCATTGATAATAGGTGGCTTAGACTGTATTTCAGGTAGCACTGATGCTGTGTTGACATTAGAATTACAATCACCACATTGTTGGTTGCCGTGGGAATTAGGTGAACCATAACCAGGTGACTCCATATTACCAAAAGAGACAGGTAGTAGAATAGAAGATTTCCTTCTCTTTTTATTACCAAGACTTTTCCAACTCAAAAATACCTACAAATATAATAAACAGCTTATTAAGAGAGCTATAGTATGTCCACTTAATAACATCCAAGAGGGTGTCACAAAATGTTCTTACAGAAGTGGAGATCTAAGAAAATGTGCAATTGTGATCCAGAAGACAATACAGAAAGCATTAAATAAAATCAACTTCCAGTTTTAATTCAAAACCTAACCTGTGATAAGAGTTGTTTTTGATGAAATGATGTAACTTTATCTACAGTTTGTTTTCTCCTATATTCTATTCTCCATTTTCTCCAGAATTCCTTGATCATTCTTTCACTATCCTATTAAAAAACAGAGAGAAGAACTGATAATGTAAAGAATAAATAACATAACTCTCTTGAAAAACTATCATAAATAACATAATGTAGGAAATGGGATTCTACTGTTGTACTGTTATTTACCTTGTGCCAACAAATAAGGCGATTGTTGATGGCCATCACTGGTAAATCGCTTTTTTTTTCTGAGAATTTGATCATCAAGAATTAATGTCAACCTTCAATTATATTTTGCTGATGTTTAAAAGTATCCACTAATTCTAAACTAAGACACCATCTCAAATCTAAACATGCACATTAGTTGCTGAAGTTTTCAGAAATAACTAATTATTCACTCACCACTAATCTAGCTGTATATAAAAGATCAACTTTCCATTTCCATAATCTAGCATACTGTTTGACTATTCTATCTTTTCTTTTCTCTTTATATATATTTATACATCTTTCCATTTTCATCACATTGAAAACCATTTTACTAAAAATAACAAATAATTAATGAATGTCTTACCAATCGGGGGAACACAAATGTTTCTTTCTTCTAAGTCTAAAATAGTCTTTGACTAAGATTTCATCATTACAAATGATCACCCCAAATTTCATTTAAATCGGTTGAAAACTATAGTGTCTATTGAATTCGCAAACAAATTTTTACATGTTTTTTCCTAAGTCAAGGGCAATAGCTCAAAACCGTTCATTGCAAGATCGACGAATTTGAACTTGTCCAAGATCTCATCAATATAAATGATCAAATTTCATTAAAATCAGATAATAAGATAGCTTGCAAGGCAAGGTAACATACGCCCACTGGCAGCTGTCATTAGTGACTAAAGTACAAACTTTCTCATATTGAAGAAATTTTACTGGTTTGAATTCAATTACATATATATATGCCAGTTATTTATGCTGAGTAATTCCACAAAATTTTTTAAAATCAATATCAATAACCCAAATACAACAAACAATCAAACCACATAGCTCTAATCAAGGGCAAAAAACAACTTTTGACGTGTGTTTACAAAGTCAAGAGCAATAACTCAAAAAAAGTTCATCAAAAATATCTCAAGTTAGAACTTGTCCGAGATCTTATCAATTACATTGATCACGCCAATTTTCATCAAAATCGGTTGAAAACTGTAGCTTCTATTGTGCTCACAAACAAATTTTGAAGTGTTTTACAAAGTCAAGGGCAATAACTCAAAAAAAGTTCATCAAAAATATCTCAAGTTAGAACTTGTCCGAGATCTTATCAATTCCATTGATCACGCCAATTTTCATCAAAATCGGTTGAAAACTGTAGCTTCTATTGTGCTCACAAACAAATTTTGAAGTGTTTTACAAAGTCAAGGGCAATAACTCGAAAACCGTTCATCAAAAATGCATCAAGGTAGAACTTTTCCGAGATCTTATCAATTTCAATGATCACACCAAGTTTCATCAGAATCGGTTGAAAACTGTAGCTTCTATTGTGCTCACGAACAAACTTTGACACTTTTTAACAAAGTCAAGGGCAATAACTCAAAAACCATTCATACGAAATACTTCAAGTTAGAACTTGTCCGAGATCTTATCAATTCCAATGATCACACCAAGTTTCATTAGAATCGGTTGAAAACTGTAGCTTCAATCCTGCTCACGGACTATTTTTAACAAATTTCGACGTGTTTTAACAAAGTCAAGGGCAATAACTCAAAAACCATTCATCGAAAATGCGTCAAGTTAGAATTTGACCGAGATCTTATGAATTCCAATAATCACACCAAGTTTCATCAGAATCGGTTGAAAACTGTAGCTTCAATCCTGCTCATGAACTATTTTTAACAAATTTCGACGCGTTTTAACAAAGTCAAGGGCAATAACTCAAAAACTGTTCATTGAAAAAGCGTCAAGTTAGAACATGTTTGAGATCTTATCAATTCCAATGATCACACCAAGTTTCATCAGAATCGGTTGAAAACTGTAGCTTCAATCCTGCTCACGAACTATTTTTTAATAAATTTCAACAATTTTTAACAAATTTCAAGGCGTTCTAAGTCAAGGGCAATATCTCAAAAACCGTTCATCGAAAATATGTCAAATTCGAACTTGACAGAGATCTTATCAATCTAAAGCATCACACCAAGTTTTATCAAAATCAGATAAAAACTGTAGTCTCTATAGTGCTCACAAGAATTGTTGACGGACGGACCGACGGACAGGGGCGACGACAATATACGACCACATATTCATGTGGGCGTATAAAAACTGTTCATCAAAAATGCGTCAAGTTAGAATCTGTCTGAGATCTTATCAATTCCAATGATCACACCAAGTTTCATCAGAATCAGTTGAAAACTGTAGCTTCAATCCTGCTCATGAACTATTTTTAACAAATTTAGACTCGTTTCAACAAAGTCAAGGGCAATAACTAAAAAATGTTCATCGAAAATGCGTCAAGTTAGAACTTGTCCGAGATCTTATCAATTCCAATGATCACACCAAGTTTCATCAGAATCGGTTGAAAACTGTAGCTTCAATCCTGCTCACGAAGTATTTTTAACAAATTTCGACGCATTTTAACAAAGTCAAGGGCAATAACTCAAAGATAGTTTGCGTTGCGAGGTAACATACGCCCACTGGCAGCTGTCAGAAAAAATAAAACAGTCTTTAGTGAGTAAAGTACGAATTTTCTCATATTGAAGAAATTATTTATGCTGAATAATTCCACAAAATTTTTTAAAATCAATATCAATAACCCAAATACAACAAACAATTAAATCACACAGCTCTTATCAAAGGCAAAAAACAACTTTTGACGCCTTTTAACAAAGTCAAGGGCAATAACTCAAAGATAGTTTGCGTTGCGAGGTAACATACGCTCACGCTGTCAGAAATAATAAAACAGTCTTTAGTGACTAAAGTACCAATTTTCTCATATTGAAGAAATTATTTATGCTGAATAATTCCACAAAATTTTTTAAAATCAACATCAATAACCCAAATACAACAAACAATTAAATCACACAGCTCAAGGGCAAAGATAGCTTGCCAGGCAAGGTAACATACGCCCACTGGCAGCTGTCAGAAATGATTAAACAGTCTTTAGTGACTACAGGGTTGCACAATATAGCTAATAGAGTGAAACGTCAAGTCAGACACGATATTTCGGAGAAATATTATCCGATCATCGCGAAAATCGATAGGGATCATCTTCATAATGACATTGACATACAAAATAAAAATCAAAAGAATCTGTAAACAATTGTAGCCTGTAGAGTGAGCACGAGTTGCACAATATAGCTAATAGAGAAAAACGTCACGTCAGACACGATATTTCGGTGAAAAATTATCTGATCATCACGAAAATCAATAGGGATCATCTTCATAACAACATTGACATACAAAATAAAAGAATCCATAAAGAACTGTAGCCTGTAGAGTGAGCACGAGCCAAATGTGAACGGACACATTTAAAAACAACTTTTGACGCGTGTTTACAAAGTCAAGGGCAATAACTCAAAAAATGATCATCAAAAATATCTCTTGTTAGAACTTGTCCGAGATCTTATCAATTCCAATGATCACACCAAGTTTCATCAGAATCGGTTGAAAACTGTAGCTTCTATTGTGCTCACGAACAAATTTTAAAGCGTTTTTACAAAGTCAAGGGCAATAACTCGAAAACCGTTCATCAAAAATGCATCAAGGTAGAACTTTTCCGAGATCTTATCAATTCCAATGAATACAACAAGTTTCATCAGAATCGGTTGAAAACTGTAGCGTCAATCCTGCTCACGAACAATTTTTAACAAATTTCAAGGCCCTCAAGTCAAGGGCAATATCTCAAAAACCGTTTATCGAAAATATGCCAAATTCGAACTTGACAGAGATCTTATCAATCTAAAGCATCACACCAAGTTTTATCAAAATCAGATGAAAACTGTAGTCTCTATAGTGCTTACAAGAATTGTTGACGGACGGACGGACCGACAGACCGACGGACAGGGGCAACGACAATAAACGACCACATATTCATGTGGGCGTATAAAAACTGTAGTCTCTAATACTCTCTATTGCATTCATAAGTCAATTGTGGACGGACCGACAGACAGATGGACAAGGGCGAGGATAATTATAAAGTGAGCGTATAAAAACCTGTTACAGAAAAGATCCTATATATATACACTTCCTTTTGCTTGCTTTAATAAAAATCTTATCTTTTAGAGCAATGTAATAAGGACAGTGGCACCAATATCACTTTATATAAAGGATCTGTCAAATATCTTAGAAAAGCAATCTTTTTATACTTGCTTTCTTAGAATAGCAAGACTAGACGTATGATGCCTGATCATTGGCAAGATCATTGTAAGAAATCTATTTCTATAACTACATCTGAGAAAATCTAGCACATAATATTCTCACCATAAATGCTTATTATAATGTTTAATAGCCATTCCTTCCTGTTCAGCTTCTTTCTGTCTTTCAACCTGTTTTCTACATACAAAATTACGCCACTGTCTAGCAACTCGCCATGCTAAAAACTTGCCATAGCATCTAGCAGACATAATTCTATCTAATCTATTATGCCACAATAATAATGAATGTCTCTGTATAGCTTTATTCTGATCCTCGTGAATTTTTTGAGCTGTTTCTTGTAAAGCTTGACAGTAATCAAATCGATTTCTCAGGAATGAAAAAGTTTTTAATAAAATGTTATGTCGAACTCTAGCTGTCATTACAAAATAGTTTGCATCCAATTTTTTCTTCTTTTGAGTGTATACATGCCAAGCTTCGAGGCTTCTGTAATATAGAATATAGACCAGCATTTGTTATTTCATATCTAATATTGTTTCATATTGAAAAACACACAGAGAATGAATGTCTAGTCCTAATTAATCCTTTAAATGAAATGAAATGAAATGAAATGAATGGAGTTTTTCATCCTACTTTTCTGCAATTCGTATCATGATAATATCACCTACCTGATTTGTAACTTGACATTAAAATGCTGTTTAACTGTTTGATTGAGCTTAGTGTAACCTAACCAAAGTTTAAAATATACATGTTGTGTACGTTCTTGTAATGCTCGTTGTAATGCTAAACCTCTTAGTCTTCTCTCCTTCTTGGCTAAAACAAATTCAAACCTTTAAAATATTTCAGCATACATACAATAGCAAAAATATACTTTCCAATTGTGCTTTGGCTTTATATGACCACAATAATACAATTGAACATTGGTTATTACTCTCTCCTTGAAGCTATGCCATACTAAGTATATGCTATACTGAGTAAAAGCTATATATACCTTTAGCCCAAGTAATCCACTCCTGGAAGACTGTGATTTGAAGTTTAGTTTGGTAGACTTGATCAACATGGTTTAATAATAAACGATTCTTCCAATGAAGTAACATCTGACTGATTAGTTCTTGATTTTTTTCTTCAATGTGACTTTCTAAAACTTCCTCCATATTCAAAACCCTTGCATATTTTTTTCTCCAGTTTGCAAAGAATTCACAAAGCTGAAAGAGTGATAGTTTATATGGATCATCAAAGAATCATAAAATTCATTATATTGAGTCATAATTCATTGAAAAAAGACAGAATTTATGCAAATGCTCCACTAATTGTTTTGCAAGCTCATGCTAAGCTGCATTCACTTCACGACTGTTTAATATTATTTCATTGAACTAAGAACTGAAGCAATTTTTAAGACATTCATACCCGTCTGCTCTGTAATTGTTTATAATGTTGACTTGCTCTACTCCTTCTAGATTTTTTTCTCCATTTTTTACCAATTTCCAAAGCCCTCATTTCCACATATTTCTGTTTTTCTTGTTGATGATTTAACCTATTAGCGTACTTTTTCCTCCATTTTTGAAACAAACCTTGAACCAAATTGGTATAACACTTGACTTGAAATTGTAAAACAGTTTTTCTCTCTTGTTTTTTCTCTTGTAGAATTTCTCGCCAACCTTTCAATGCCCTAAAATACCAAATTACATGTCAACATAAAACTTTATTAACCAATGCCCTATACGTAATCCTGGGGGTGTATAGTATTGTGTATTTATTACATTTCCACTATACCTCCCTTCCTTGAACCAGTTATGCCAACTGGCTTTTTTTTATATAATAAACTGTAGTTTACCATCTGACTAGGGCAAAGGAAGGACTCACGCTAACATTTGTAGCAATACGCAATTGATCACACTACAAATTATTTTGTGATCGATTGCATTTACACACCAATAGTACTATTGAGACAAACCAGCTTCCAATATCCTTATTATTCCCATCAACTTAACTTATTAACTTATACTATTTCATATGAGTACATAAATGAGTTTTTGTAATACCATCTTCAATAATGGCCTGTATGCACCAAATGAAATTAAGCCTAATTTAATTCTATTCTGCCTGAATAACATAAACTTTTAGTTTGATTCTATATTTTGTATGCACCACATAGAATTACCTTAAATGTATTTAAAAATTGGCTAATTTAATACTAAACTTAAAGTTGGTCAAGACCAGTTTTAACTTTTAATTATATTCGTAAATCAGTAGAAATTCCTTTTGCAGCTCTTTGATGTTTCAAAATGGACCATTATTTCAACGATATAGATGAACTTGGTGAAATCAACCGTGTTATTCCCATCAATTGACATGTCAGGGACTGCCTGGACCCCTTCACATGGTTTTCGGAGGAGGAATTTAAAGGTTTAGATTGAATAAGCAATCATTATCACTAATAGTTTGCAAAAATGAAACATGTCATGGATTCCATATCAAATTTATGATGACGTTCATTTGCTCCTTTGAAGAATAGAATTGGAGTAACAAAAAATAGAATTATCTTTCAATACATTTAACTAAATCTATTTAAGGTTTGAAATAATTCTATCCTTCTTAATTTGATTTTGTATGGTGCATACCGGCCAATGTTTATGATTTTCTATACTCACACTAATGCTACCACTCTATTATGAATTTGTCTAACTTGAGCAGCTTTAATTGTTAAGTCTCTCCAGTAGTAAAATTTTTGCTGTAGTTTATTCTGCTGACAATGGTAAGTAAGTTGTTTGGAATGAACCTGGCTCTGGTGATTACCTGTACAATAAACAATTACTATTAAAAATGTGTACAGGTCAGGAAAAAATATCTGGAGATTTGCCTTGAAAAATTTTGGGTGAAAAGTCAGATGGACGTACAGGGGTGACGACAATATATGACCCCATTATAATGTGGACGTATAAAAACAATTTCATAAAACAAAGTTTGAATTAGAAATCCAATCGCGTATGATAATCTACCAACAATAAAAAAGATTTCTGAAACGACGTCTATGTTATATAGAGCTATTATAGACCTCACAGATTGACAGTATTAATACTATGAAGACTTCAAGATTTCGTTTTTTAGTAAAAGGAGGGCTACCGTAAATTTATTGTAAAAGCGAAAGTAGAATCTACCGGATGTTGTTATAAAAAGTGTGTCACAAGGGCTTAAAATACAGATTATAGAAAATAGATCAAATTACCATCTTAATTGGGGGATTAATTAATCAGACAATGATAATATTGTTACGTGATGAGATTAACGCGTGTTACCGGCAATCAAGATACAAGTAATGATAGATATTTTGTTGATTTATGGTAGATAATTTGGACATTAAAAACGTTAGGTCCTGTGAAAATTTGATCAGGAAAAAAACAAAAATATCGGTAGAATTGGATATCCCGTCGGTAGAGCGGTGGACAACATGCAAAAGCGGTAGAAACCCAACAACATCGGTAGATTACACATGTATGGCCTTTATATCTACTACCAATTTTCAAAATAATATCAATTTGACACCATTCACATTTTCTGCTGCCTGTGCTTGAAACATGCTTTATATGAAAAAAGAGAACATTTTAAAAGTGAATTAAATAAATTCCTGCTATCAGGCACTGTTTTTCTTAGTGAAGGCTAACCCTAATTAGGTTTAGTACATTTCCTTTAATTAATATTTCTTATTTATGATAACTTACAATTGAAGAGTTTCCTCGCAAAAATATCATACATGTATACTATTTCCACTTAATAAATTATAGATATTTTTTATATGAAATACGCATTTTCCTTTTCAGTTAATATAGGACAATTCCTCAATTTAACCAGTGAAAATGTTTATTATGATTTCCATGGTTATTAATGTTCCTGTTGGAACCAGTATTCTTCTTATATATTTCAGATTCGGAAGATAATGGATTTGCATTTCAAATATTCTATATCATTCTTTTAAACTAACTTCACAAACATTGCTCTATCACTAGAGGTTACGCCTACATGCCTGTGCCTGTGCTTTCGTAACATTGCTTAACCGCAATGTTACAACCTAAAATTCCTAATTAGAGTATAGACATACAAAATCTACAGAAAATTTACCTTTTGCCCACTGATACCATCTTCTAAAGATAACCGCTAAATAACTCTGCCAAGCTTTTTCATATTTTTCTTCAGTGGCTTGTTTCTGTTGTAGTTTTAATCTCCATTGTTTAAAATACTACAAAAAGAGTAAACTATATTTAGACAATGACTATACTGAAATTAACAAGATTAAAAGGAGAGTCCTGTTGTCAAAATAAAGATATAATGCATCACAGGGTAAAATGACATTATATAAAATCATACCTCCTTCTTGAATATCATCATTTACACTTAAAGCCAAATCCTTCACGAAGCAAAAGTGTCACAAAACTTACATTTAATTGAATGTATTTCCTTCTAAATTTTTCACATTTATCACTTCTTTGATGATTATCACTAGCCCAGACATTCCATTCTGTTATTACTCTAAAACAAATATCATAGTTTCATACATATTATATTTCAATTAACATGATAAAATAAAATATTAGTCCAAAATGATTAAAGGTCAAGATAAAACCTTTTCATAGAAGTTTGAAATTTGATATATTGGTCAAAGGAAAAAAAAATACCTTTTCAATATAAATGACTTATGAACATGTTGTATTTTCTGAAAAAATTGATGTTTTATCTGCCATATTGAGAAGCAAAGATACAATGTTCTCTTGTTCAGGTTTGTCGAAAGCTGATGTTCTAAGGGCAACAACTCTATTTCCTCTGGTGTTGCCGTTGACCATAAACGTAGAATATTTTCTTTATGCTGCTTGTCTTTGGCCTATGGAGAAAATAATATCATATAAAGTGAGCTTTCCAGTGACAAATTAAATTGCACTCATCCATGCTACTCTAGATCTAAGCAATATTTCTTCAATTTTCTTCCAATTGTTTTAGTGGTTGTATTGAAGCATCTCACCAGTGAAAAAGTACTGTGGCAGAGCATAACCTACTCAATTCAATCATCTAGTTCTGCTTGGTGAGTATAAATATATATTTTTATTTATTCAGTAATGATAAATTATTTAAGGTAAATTTCAAAATTTGTGTGTCAAATCTTACCTTTTCTATCCAGACTGGGAAATATTTCTTTAGTTCTGTTTTCATATGATGTCTGTCAGCAGAGTCAGCCATTTTTCTTTTCATACATCTAGATTTGTGATAATTCCCAAAACACTTTATTGCTGTTGAACATACTACTTTATCCTAGAAAAATGGTTTTATTTGCTATAATTACGTAAAACAATTTCTACTTAAATTTACACGTTTTTAAATTGAATCACATTCGAAAATTGCACAATTCATATAACATGAAAAACAAATACCATTAATAATGATATCATTAAAAATAACCTAAATGTGTATAATTGTGAAATTTGTTTTCTTTTTACCCTCTTTTTTTATTTGAGTTAAGATCACATGACAGAATCAAATGATATAAGTGAAATTTTATGATTCCATCAATGATACCTTTATGAGTAAGATTAGAATTTACTTTTACTTACCCTATGAGCTTGAGCAATATTAATGCTTTTTAAGTGACATTTCCATCTTCTGAAAGCCAATTTGAGTTTTAGCATTTGACTTATTTCAGCAACCTGATTTGCCGCCTCTTTCAGTTCTCTCTGGTTTATTATAAAGTCTTTCCAGTGATCAAATATAAGACTGACTGGCCAGTGACGTAAACGATTAATGAAGACTGAGACTAATTCCTGGAAGTAAACATAAACTGAACACTATATTTTGACTTGATTTAAATTTCAGTTTAACATTCAATCTATATTTTGATTTTTTTTTTCAATGATATACAAAAGAAAGCTTGCCAGGCAAGGTAATATAAGCCCACTGGCAGCTTTAGCAGTACAGTAACAATCACCAGTATGAAATATTCAACCTTCAGTCATACACTTCTTTTGAACTCTTTAGGGCGATACTGAATAATATTGAGTATGAGTTATTGCCCTTGTTCTTGAAAACGTGTTCAATCTTTAGCTCGTGAAAATTCTAGAAGACAAATATTCAATCTTCAGCGTGGGACTGAATAATAAATCCAAGTTTTGTCAAAATCCAGCAAGAATCATGCCTTCTAGAATTTTTACCAGCTACAAATTGAATGAGTTTTCAAGAACAAGAGCAATAACTAATACTAAATATTTTTAATGTTTCTGATTTTCGATAGGATTTATCTTTGGGTGATTACAAACAACCATTCTAAGTTTCGTTGAAATCAGTCAAGAATTGTGCCTTGTAGAGTGTTTACAAGCAATTGTGGACGGACGGGCGGACCTACGGACATGGTTGACGGCAATATACGCTCTACATTTCATGAAACCAGACAAAGAACAAAATAAATGACATATAGATTGTTTTACCCGTTTTCTTTGTATCTTGGATTCTCTTTCGTCTATAATAGCTGATTCTATACCACTTAATAAACTTTGATTATCTAAATCTAATTTCTCTATATCAACACTTCTTTCACTTGGATAACCAGCAAACAACCTACAAAATATAATTACTCTATATCAACACTTCTTTCACTTGGATAACCAGCAAACAACCTACAAAATATAATTACTCTATATAAACACTCTTTTCACTAGGATAACTAGCAAACAACCTACAAAATATAATTACTCTATATAAACACTCTTTTCACTAGGATAACCAGCAAACAACCTACAAAATATAATTACTCTATATAAACAATCTTTTCACTTGGATAACTAGTAAACAACCTACAAAATATAATTACTCTATATAAACAATCTTTTCACTAGGATAACCAGCAAACAACCTACAAAATATAATTACTCTATATAAACAATCTTTTCACTAGGATAACTAGCAAACAACCTACAAAATATAATTACTCTATATAAACAATCTTTTCACTAGGATAACCAGCAAACAACCTACAAAATATAATTACTCTATACAAACAATCTTTTCACTTGGATAACTAGTAAACAACCTACAAAATATAATTACTCTATATAAACAATCTTTTCACTAGGAATTACTCTATATAAACAATCTTTTCACTAGGATAACCAGCAAGCAACCTACAAAATATAATTACTCTATATAAACAATCTTTTCACTTGGATAACTAGTAAACAACCTACAAAATATAATTACTCTATATAAACAATCTTTTCACTAGGATAACCAGCAAACAACCTACAAAATATAATTACTCTATATAAACAATCTTTTCACTAGGATAACCAGCAAACAACCTACAAAATATAATTATTCTATATAAACAATCTTTTCACTTGGATAACTAGTAAACAACCTACAAAATATAATTACTCTATATAAACAATCTTTTCACTAGGATAACCAGCAAACAACCTACAAAATATAATTACTCTATATAAACACTCTTTTCACTAGGATAACTAGCAAACAACCTACAAAATATAATTACTCTATATAAACAATCTTTTCACTAGGATAACCAGCAAACAACCTACAAAATATAATTACTCTATACAAACAATCTTTTCACTTGGATAACTAGTAAACAACCTACAAAATATAATTACTCTATATAAACAATCTTTTCACTTGGATAACTAGCAAACAACCTACAAAATATAATTACTCTATATAAACAATCTTTTCACTAGGATAACCAGTAAACAACCTACAAAATATAATTACTCTATATAAACAATCTTTTCACAAGGATAACTAGTAAACAACCTACAAAATATAATTACTCTATATAAACAATCTTTTCACTTGGATAACTAGTAAACAACCTACAAAATATAATTACTCTATATAAACAATCTTTTCACTAGGATAACCAGCAAACAACCTACAAAATATAATTACTCTATATAAACAATCTTTTCACAAGGATAACTAGTAAACAACCTACAAAATATAATTACTCTATATAAACAATCTTTTCACTTGGATAACTAGTAAACAACCTACAAAATATAATTACTCTATATAAACAATCTTTTCACAAGGATAACTAGTAAACAACCTACAAAATATAATTACTCTATATAAACAATCTTTTCACTAGGATAACCAGCAAGCAACCTACAAAATATAATTACTCTATATAAACAATCTTTTCACTTGGATAACTAGTAAACAACCTACAAAATATAATTACTCTATATAAACAATCTTTTCACTAGGATAACCAGCAAACAACCTACAAAATATAATTACTCTATATAAACAATCTTTTCACTAGGATAACCAGCAAACAACCTACAAAATATAATTATTCTATATAAACAATCTTTTCACTTGGATAACTAGTAAACAACCTACAAAATATAATTACTCTATATAAACAATCTTTTCACTAGGATAACCAGCAAACAACCTACAAAATGTAATTACTCTATATAAACACTATTTTCACTAGGATAACCAGTAACCTACCTACAAAATCTAATTACTCTATATAAATGCTCTTTTCACTAGGATAACTAGTAAACAATCTACAAAATCTAATTACTCTATATAAATGCTCTTTTCATTAGGATAACTAGTAAACAATCTACAAAATGTAATTACTCTATATAAGTGCTCTTTTCATTTGGATAACAAGTCAACAACCTACAAAATATTATTACTCTATATAAACAATCTTTTCATTTGCATAACCAGTAAACAACCTACAAAATATAATTACTCTATATACATTACTCTATATAAATTACTCTATATAAACACTCTTTTTACTAGGATAAAAGTAAACAAGTAAACTATGAAAGTACAGATTGACTACATACCTATTTAATGATGTTACTGTATTTATAGATGATATCTAAGACTATGAAAGTACAGATTGACTACATACCTATTTAATGATGTTACTGTATTTATAGATGATATCTAAGACTATGAAAGTACAGATTGACTACATACCTATTTAATGATGTTACTGTATTTATAGATGATATCTAAGACTATGAAAGTACAGATTGACTACATACCTATTTAATGATGTTACTGTATTTATAGATGATATCTAAGACTATGAAAGTACAGATTGACTACATACCTATTTAATGATGTTACTGTATTTATAGATGATATAGATCTAGGACTATCATCTATCATAGTACAATCGTCATCACCATCTAAACTATATGTATCATCATCTATAAATAAAAATGCTTTTTAAAGTTTTGTCAGGGATCCCAGTGAGCCCCCTAAAAATGCAGAATATCCATTTTCCACGGCATCTTTTTTGTTTGTTTTTTTTAATCGCCATTATGATTAAACAATTTTCACTTATGTGTCATTCACGTATGTGTTATTTTATAACAAAAACCAATATATCAAATTCACAAAGCAAACGCTACTTTATATAAAAACATAAATACAATAGTACCTAAAATAGTGATGAGATTTATAGCAATGAATTCACTACAAGGGTGCAGCCATGTTTGTTTTCTTATTTTATCGCACACAGTCTCGTGGTATTAAGGAGTTGTCTTTAACATCCGGACTTCTTCTAACTACTATGGGGATTGACCGATTCTTTTCTTTCGTCGCAGTTGCCGTAGACAAAAGGCAACTGGTTGATAAAGGCTACGTATTACCGAATTGCACCGGAAATATCCGACAGTGATCAAAACTGCAATTAATCATACCAATGTGAATTTTATGATTCGAGTTACTAATCCATCTGGTCTATTTTTATACAATTTATTCAAAATCAACTTAATGCCCATAAAGTCAAAATATTTCACTTACTTCTGCTTTGTGGTTCTGTGATGGAGATCTCTGAACCTAACCTATCAGTATAATTAACTGGAAGACCAAGCCTAATAGAGAACTGGTGAATGGAGTCTTGTATAGAATACTGAGTAGTATTCTTCCACTCATTAAGAACCTCCTTTAAATGCTTTCTCTCTATCCCCTTTGAGTATACTCTGAAAATGACACAATAGATCGAAATTATTAAATCAAATAAGATTGTCGAAAGGCATATCAACCAAAGTAACAAATATGACCTTTAATATGAACCTTATTTTGTGCCAAAAATAGATACAGACATAGATAGATCTTATTTTCCTGTTTATTCACATTTGAAACAACCTATTTGAATAATTTCAGTCCTGATAATTACACAGCCTTAAATAGCTGTGTGTAAAAATACTTGATATGCCAGCTACAAACCTCGCAACAAGTGTAATCTGTAAATGGTGTTTCCAATTATAAAAAGCTGTGGTAAGTTGTCTATAACTACGATGCTGATGTGTTTGTAAAATTTTATCTTCCTCCAAAGTCTTTTCTCTTCTTATACTCTCTAACCACAAATTAAAATAGGACTTCTTCATGTCCAAGTTTCTTTCCTGAAAAATATGGATTTTATTATACCAAAAAGCATATTGCAATTACAATTACATATTATCTTTAACTGTAATATAGCCTAGGTATTACCAATAGCTATTGTGCTACTTCATTCAGATAAGTGAATCTACTAAATCAGCTAATAGAACTCATTGTTACCAATTTGAATTCTAATATGAGTATAATGTCTAACCTCTAGTTCAATTGCTTGTGTTTTCTCTTCAATCTGTCTTTTTGTTCTAGACTTCCAATAATTGAACAGATAACTCTGAAGATGTTGTTCATAAAATAGATTAGCTGACTGTTTACGTTTAACAATATCTCTCCATTCTCTTAAACATTTATGCGAAAATTTTCTTTGTCTGTTTCTCTCAATATCTTTCTCTATCTCATGTACTTTATTTTGTCGTCTACAAAAAATATTTTTTTGGCTGTCTTATTTCACATTCTTTTTCCAACAGACAATTTGAACAGTCTGTTCAGTCAGGTTCCAACTGTTCCAATTCTGTTCCCAATCGAACAGTATGAAAACATATAATATGTCACATTCAAAATGTTACTCATCTATTTACTTCTCAGCCCAATTGACTTCTGTCTGCACCATTTTTTTTTTGCCTTCATGGAACACGTTCTGACCTGTGTTCCAAATAGTTATATTGAACGGTCTATTAATTCTATAATGTTGAATGTGTAGAACACACCAATTGAACATATTCAAATATATTGCTTAATTCTTAATTTATCCAACAATTTGTAGACCAAAAAAAAGGTTGCTTTACTATGCTTAGGTGCCCTAAGTCTAAAAGTTATCATTGTGTTGCAATTTTCAGCAAAAAAAGAATGAATATTTATAATTAAATCATTTTATACCTCCAACGATTAAAGATATTATGTAATCTTAAGTTAACAATAACATTATAATTCTGTAAACATTGTAGTTTATGTTGTACAATCTGATTCCATGACTGAAAACATCTAAAATATAAATATACACTTAATAAATTACCATACATGAACAAATCAATACTACAAATATATACATTTAATATCATCCCAACCAGTATGTTATTATAGCCTACTGCTTACATTATTGTTTTCAACAAAAACATTAAAATTACTATTTCAACAATAAAATATTCATCTCTGTGTTGAATGTGTTCTTATGCTTCTTAACTTCTATTCCATTTATTGATTTATTGTTAGAGTAAAAAGAAGCATAAGCACATAACTCATTTTAAATGCTAATTATATACCTTTTTAACACCAGATTTTGTCTAGATTGTATTAATGGTTGGAGTTTATTTAGTTGTTCCATTGCCTTCTTCCAAATATCAAACATTCTACGTAACTTAGATTTCTTTAGTTCTTCTCTTATTTTATCTGCTTCATAGATCTCTTGATCTTTTCTATTTTTAGCTGTCTTCCACTTATTAAACATCACTGAAATATACCACAGATATCCACACAGATCAATAGAAAAGATCTCTATAATTTATATACGCTTTGATACATAGTAAACCGCTATTAACGATGGCATTGAACTTGAATTTGAATTGAATCTTGTCTAATAAGTATAAATTCTCTATATTCATACCTTTAATCAGATGTAAGTTTCTATCAGGTTCTGTTTCTATCAGAATTTCTTTTAATTCAGTTTTCCTACATTTCAGTTTCCATTTGTTAATAATTTTTCTAAAAAAAAAAAATTTTACACTTTAGCATCTTTCATATTAGCAAATATATATACAATTGAAAGCAAATTTTATAAAACAGTAATATGTGGCATATAAAATGCATAATTACTGTAAGATTAAACTAGAAGTTCTAACCTGAGACAGTTATTTGACCAATGTTGTCGTGCTTTTTGAACTGATAAGTGTCTCAAATATTGCTTTAACCATATAGCAAAACATTCCTGCTGTTTACTGCTATCACAATTCCTTCTATATAGTTCACACTTCATTCTATAAAATATCAGATCATATATCTTCTTATTTACAAACATATAATATATTCTTCAAAGATAGCCAACAAGCAGCAAAAGCAAAAGAATCCATAAAGAATTGTTGCCTGTAGAGTGAGCATGAGTTGCACAATATAGCTAACAGAGTGAAAATGCTAAGTCAGACACAACATTTTGGTGATATATTATCAGATCATCATAAAAATCGATAGGGATCATCTTCATAATGACAAAATAAAAATCAAAAGAATCCATAAAGAATTGTAGTAGGTAGAGCAAGCACGAGCCAAATGTGTACTGATGGACTGGCGGGCTGACAGGGTGAATGTAATATACAACCACATTATAATGTGCTTTGAATAATATAACTTCTGTCAAAATAAACCATTTACTCCTCCAACGTTTCATGTGTCTGAAAGTCTCATATCTTCATCCTGTTAAAGCATCATAATTTTTACAACTGAGATCACCATTAATCATCTTCATGATTGATTTTGTTCAACTCTCATTTTTATTTGGAATTTACACATTATAAAGTGGGCGTATAAAAATTTACTTACATAAATAGGATGGGAATAAAATTATTATTTACTGAAAATAATATTATTGCATTATACCAACTTGATGGGGTGTATAGTATTTACAGTGACAGAGATTTTCCTAGATATACTGGAGGGTTAGAAGGGATGCGCATTATCCATGCTTGTACATTATATTCGCAAATATAAGGTTGTAAAAGGTGTGTTACATCTTAAATGAAATTCTGCGTTTTTAAATTTCCTAGAAATTTCTTTAGTAATAGTAATGTAAGCCTACCATTGAAAGTCACTAAATTTTAGAATAAGTTACCTAAGTTGCTTCTTATAATCAGTATAATACTTCCATTCTTTAAGCCTTATTTGTAACATAACCTTCACTAGTTGCTGAGATAATATATCACGTTTATAATTCTGCCTAACTACATGGTCTTTCCAAGCAGTGAAATGGCGAGAAACTTTCATAGTAGACAACTCTTTCCTTATATTCTCATGTTTGGCCCTTAGATCTAACCATAATGTTTTCCATACAGTGAAAACATGTCTGAAATGGACGAACATCAAATTCTTATTTTCATGTTATTAGGCATTTAATTTTTGCACTTTTATACTCAGATGTCGATCTTTACACTTTACAATTTATCAAAAACCCCTCCAATAGAAAATATAAAAGTTAATCTCAAGGTTGCTAAGAAGCTTCAGGTTACAACCAATCAAACTCTCTATTGCAGTATCTCATTAGTGAATTAAAATAGTAAATAAAAGAAAGTACTTTTGAGTAGTCATCTGACTGTTTCGTACAGCTTTAACCATTAATAATCTTTCTCTCCAATAATAAAACATAGTAGTAATAGTAGTCTGTGTCCACTGTTTATCACTAACTCTTAAATCATGTTGTTTTTCTTGATGACTGACTTCACTCCCTTCTTTCCATAAACATAAACATTTTAATAATATGTGATGTCTGAAAAAACGCAAAAAATTTAAACTTTATCAGACACCTATCAAAAATACTAGGTTACAAATAATGCAATATAAATAAGCACAGGTCAGGCACATAATAAGGTATGCTTCAACTTCATATTTGACTCAACATCACTTAAGCTATTACCTATGGAATTGTCTAGCTAGTTGAATCTTTCTGTAATTTGCAACCATTCTATGAAAGTATTTCTTCTCCACATTGTAAGTATATAACACACTGCAAAATAACATAAAAATATTAATATTATCTTTTTAATACATAATAGGTTGCAAATAGATATCATAGTACATAATCATACATGTATGTCAAGTATGTTCAATAATCCTCTGTCTTTCTAATGTGATTATATCACTGATCATTCAAAAACAATTTAGTATATGTTAAAATTTCAGTGCTTTCTGATGATTTACCCCTGTATACAAGACTATAATATATCATGCTGTAGTTTTCATCCAATTATCATACAAAGTTCGTGATCAAGAAAAGACAAAAAATTGAAAATTTTGACTGTTTGTTACAGTTTAGAAATTTATCACATAATTAACTGTTAGAACCTCAAATATTGAGGTTGAAAATGCTATATCTCCTCTAGTTTTCAACCAATTTTTAAAAGATAGTTTTCTATAAGCCTATGATTGAAGAATAACTAACAATTTATAAATTTCATCTAAAGTCAATTCCCATGGACTCATTCAGCTCATTCTACTGATATTTATTCCATCCATATGAAAAGGCAAATACATGATGAAATTTGAGCTTAATATAAAAAAATTAGGAGCTCTATAGAAATTTGATGCTTTGATAACAAGGTCAGAAATCTCTGTTGCAAATGGCATGTCAAAAAGGAAATATTTGGATGTGATCCACTATGTTAGAAAGATACAGAGACCTACAATGTTACTGTTTCTAACACTAGTAAACAAGTGGTTGCCTAGCAAGATAAGCCCACTTTCCTGATATATTTTCAGTATATCAAGGGCAGTCACCTATCTGTGTCAAATCATACCAAAAATTTAATTTGTGCAAGATATTGTTGATTTAAACAAAGGCACATTATTTTACAAAATTCTGACATAATCTGTCACCTCTATCACCAACAAATTTTGATTGGTTTTACTAAGTCAAGGGAAATGACTCAAATTCCGTTGATCGAAAAATTGTCAAATTCAATCTTGACTAAGATCTCATCATTAAAAATGATCATATCAAATTTCATTTAAATCGGATGAAAATTGTACTCTCTTTTGTGTTCAAAAACAAATTTTGATGCGTTTTTCATAAATCAAGGGCAATAACTCAAAAACCATTCATCGAAAAATCGTGAATATTGAACTTGTACATGATCTCATCAATATAAATGATCACACCAAATTTCATTTGAATCAGATGAAAACTGTAGTCTCTATCGCGTTCACAAGCCAATTGTGGACGGACATGGGTGACGAAAATATACGTCCATATTATAATGTGGGCGTAAAATTACAGAAAAAACAGAAAACAGAAAAATATGGTCTTATTGTTGTTCTTACAACATTTTCCAGATAAACCAGAACATTGTTTATTACTTACACTGCTTGATCATTTCTATGGCTTTTAATTCTGGATTCATTAGTAAACAATTTCCATACAGAAACACATTTAGATAACAAACATTGCCTGTAAACAACATCACATTAACAACATCAAAATTATTAAAACATTCTACAACAACGTAACATCAACAACATCAAATTATCTCATACCGACATTAACACAACATCAAGAAAGGGAAACACATTGGAAAAAAACACACATACAAATTATACCAAAGATGATGATAGTAGTATTCACTAGCCAAAAAAAGTAGGATGCACATACCTTGTTCTTTCATGAACAGACATCAAGCAAAGTGAGTTCAGTTAAAACTTTAATTTCATCATGCACATGCAGAGTTCAGTAGATCATGTAGGCCAGTAATTATTAATTCAGTATTTAAATGTAATGCACAGATTTCCAGTAATTTAATTTCAGGAAATGATCATCAAGTGCAAAGGTCAAAAATGTGCATACAAACATCAAATTGTGATACATGTACTACAAAATGTCATACCTTGAGAATTGGTCAGCTCTATTTTCCTTTAATTTCACACAATATCTTTTTATCCAGGTAGTATAGCATTTTTTTAATAATTTCTGTTTCATTCCACCATCAAATATGCGAACTCTGAAATTTGTAAGCAAAATATGTTCAATGAAAGAATAAGATTACGATTTAATCGTAACCAGCAGCAGATAGTACATAGGAGTTCTATGCTGAGAAAAACTTACTTTTTCTGTTCTTGTGTATATTGAAACCAGTTTGTAAATGTTGTAGCCAATCTATTAAATTGTCTTTGATAAGCTCTCCTCTTCCACTGAAATATGAATTAAAACTTTACACTTTTTTTCCTATTCTGGTTTGCTTCATATTATTATGCACATTGTAAATTAAGTACAAATAAATTGTGCACATTGTTACTATTGAAATATTTCTTTAGCATTTAACGGACAGATGCACCATTTTAGGGGGTTGATTTAAGTCTTGAATATATGTAATAGTATTCAGAAATACTAGAAATGTACAAAAATCACATAATTCCTTCAAAATATCTCAAACTATGACTTTCTTTTCCTATTTCTTTATATATGGTAGTATCTCAAGAAAAGACAACATATCTGTTAACTTTCAAACGCAGATTATCTAGTTTGATTTGAAGGCCAAAATTGCGACAGTGAGCTATTATTAACACTATTGCTGATCGCCTTTATTAACAAATTCTCGTTATTGAGACTAAGATAAGATGTGTAAAAAAACTAACCTTCAAAAATACACCTTTCAGTGTAATTTTCTGTGTACGTAATTTCATGATATCATGATAGTGTTGAGATCTATAGATAGCCCATTTAAACCCTTCTAGACCTTTTTTCAACATATGTTGTTTATAGAGTTGATCAGCCAATCTTTTATTGACACTATCTATACTATCATCTCTCCATTTACACCAATATTTTTTCATGACAGTCATTTCATGAAATTCTTTAGATCTGCAATATCCAAAGCATTGAAAATACACTCTTCATCAACTCCAATTATCAATTAATAGTTGGAACTGAGGCTCCAATTAGCTCTTTAGGAAGAGTTAATTTCAACCAATTGAAACGGCCCTTTTAATACTTAATTTTCTGTGTATGATAAAATTAAGTTCACAAAATTTAAACAAGTGGTTGCCAAGCAAGATACCCTCACTTCCCTGATGAATTTTCATTATATCAAGGTCGTACGACAATCTGCGTCAAATCGTACTAAAAATCTGTACAAGATATTGTTGATTTAACACACAAAATTTCATAAAATTTGGACATAAACTGACAATAAATTTTGATGCATTTTTTAATAAGTCAAGGGCAATAACTCAAATCCCATTCATTAAAAAAAATCATCAAATTCAAACTTGACCAAGTTCTCATTGTAATAGATGATCACACCAAATTATATTAAAATCAGATGAAAACTGTGGTTGCTACAGTATTCACAAGCAAATTTTGACTCATTTTTCACATCAAGGGCAATAACTCAAAACCAGTTCATCGAAAAAAACCTTAAAATTCGAACATGACCAAGATCTCATGAATATAATTGATCACACCAAATCTCATCATAAGCCAATTGTGAAAAGATTGATGGACAGAGGTGACAACAATATACAACCATATTAAAAATGTGGGAGTATAAAAAGCTGAGAAGTTGTCAAGATAGCTTGCGAGGCAAGGTAACATACACCCAATGGCAGCTGTCAGAAATGATAAAACAGTCTTTACTTGACTAAAGTAGGAATTTTCTCATATTGAAGAAATTTTATTAGTTTGAATTCAATTATATATATATGCCAGTTATTTATGCTGAGTAATTCCACGAAATTTTTTAAAATCAATATCAATAACCCAAATGTAATCAAAATACACAGCTCTAATCAAGGGCAAAAAAATTTTTTTGACATTGACACGTTTTTCCTAAGTAAAGGGAAATAACTCAAAACCGTTTATTGAAAAATCATCAAGTTCAAACTTGTCCAAGATCTCATCAATATAAATGATCATACCAAATTTCATTAATTGAAAGCTGTAGTCTCTATTGTGTTCACAAACAAATTCTGACACGTTTTTCCTAATTTTAGGGCACTTATTCAAAAACAGTTCATTGAAATATCGTCAAATTTTAACTTGACCAGGATCTCAATATAAATGATCACACCAAATTTCTTTAAAAACGGTTGAAAACTGTAGTCTCTATTGTGTTTGCACACAAATTTTGATGCGTTTTTCCTGAGCCAAGAGCAATAACTCAAAAACCGTTCATCGAAAAACCCTCAAATTCAAACATGACCAAGATCTCAAGAATATAAATCATCACAAAAAAATTTCGTTCAAATCGGATGAAAACTGTTGTCTCTTTTGTGTTCAAAAACAAATTTTGAAGCGTTTTTCATAAGTCAAGGGCAATAACTCAAAAACCGTTTATCAAAAATGCGTAAAGTTAGAATTTGTCCGAGATCTTATAAATTCCAATGATCACACCAAGTGTCATCAAAATTGGTTGAAAACTGTAGCTTCTATTGCGCTCACAAACACATTTTGGCGCGTTTTAACAAAGTCAAGGGCAATAACTCAAAAACTGTTCATCGAAAATGCATCAAATTAAAACTTGTCCGAGATCTTATCAATTCCAATAATTACACCAGGTATCATCAGAATCGGTTGAAAACTATAACTTCTATTGTGTTCACGAACAAATTTCGACGCATTTTAACAAAGTCAAGGGCAATATCTCAAAAACTGTTCATCGAAAATATGCAAAATCGAACTTGGCTGAGATCTTGTCCATCCAAAGCATCACACCAAATTTTATCAAAATCAGAAGATAGCTTGCGTGGCAAGGTAACATACGCCCACTGGCAGCTGTCAGAAATGATAAAACAGTCTTTAGTGACTAAAGTACTAATTTTCTCATATTGAAGAAATTTTGTTAGGTTGAATCCATATATATATATATATGCCAGTTATTTATGCTGGGTAATTCCACAAAATTTTTTAAAATCAATATCAATAACCCAAATACAACAAACAATCAAATCACACAGCTCTTATCAAGGGCAAAAAACAACATTTGATGAGTGTTTACAAAATCAAGGGCAATAACTAAAAAAACGTTCATCAAAAATTTCTCAAGTTAGAACTTGTCCGAGATCTTATCAATTCTAATGATCACAACAACTTTCAGCAAAATCGGTTGGAAACTGTAGCTTCTATTGTGCTCACAAACAAATTTTGACGCATTATTCTTGAGTCAAGGGCAATAACTCAAAAACATTTCATCGAAAAATGCGTCAAGTTCGAAATTGTCCGAGATCTTATTAATTCCATTGATCACACCAAGTTTCCTCAAAATCGGTTGAAAACTGTAGCTTCTATTGTGCTCACAAACAAATTTTGAAGCGTTTTACAAAGTCAAGGGCAATAACTCCGAAAGAGTTCATCGAAAATGCCCCAAGTTAGAACTTGTCCGAGATCTTATCAATTTCAATGATCACACCAAGTTTCATCAGAATCGGTTGAAACTATAACTTCATTTTGAAGCGTTTTAACAAAGTCAAGGGCAATAACTCAAGATAGCTTGCGTTGCAAGGTAACATACGCCCACTGGTAGCTGTCAGAAATAATAAAACAGTCTTTAGTGACTAAAGTACAAATTTTCTCATATTGAAGAAATTATTTATGCTGAATAATTCCACAAAATTTTTTAAAATCAATATCAATAACCCAAATACAACAAACGATTAAATCACACAGCTCTAATCAAGGGCAAAAAACAACTTTTTTACAAAGTGTTTACATGTTTACAAAGTCAAGAGCAAAAAAATGTTCATCAAAAATATTTCTTGTTAGAACTTGTCCGAGATCTTATCAATTCCAATGATCACACCAAGTTTCATTAGAATCGGTTGAAAACTGTAGCTTCTATTGTGCTCACGACCTATTTCTATCAAATTTTGACACGTTTTAACAAAGTCAAGGGCAATAACTTAAAAACTGTTCATCAGAAATGCGTCAAGTTAGAGCTTGTCTCAGAATCAAGTTTCATCAGAATTGGATGAAAACTGTAGCCTCAATCTTGCTCACGAACAATTTTTAACAAATTTCAAGGCGTTTTAAGTCAAGGGCAATATCTCAAAAACCGTTCATCGAAAATATGCCAAATTCGAACTTGACCGAGATCTGATCAATCTAGAGCATCACACCAAGTTTTATCAAAATCAGATAAAAACTTTAGTCTCTATAGTGCTCACAAGAAATGTTGACGGACGGACCAGTGGACCGACGGACAGGGGCGATGACAATATACAACCACATATTCTTATCAATTCCAATGATCACACCAAGTTTCATCAGAATCGGTTGAAAACTGTAGCGTCAATCCTGCTCACAAAGTATTTTTAACGAATTTTGTCGCGTTTTAACAAAGTCAAGGGCAATAACTCATAAACCGTTCATCGAAAATATGTCAAATTTGTTCTTGACCGAGATTTTATCAATCTAAGGCATCACCCCAAGTTTTATCAAAATCAGATAAAAACTTTAGTCTCTATAATGCTCACAAGAAATGTTGACGGACGGACCGACGGACAGGGGCGACGACAATATACAACCACATATTCATGTGGGCGTATAATGAAAACTGTAGTCTCTATAGTGCTCACAAGAAATGTTGACGGACAGACCGACGTCAGGGGCGTCAGTTGACAATATATGACCACATATTTATGCTGGTGTACAAAAATAAATATCTTTCACAAATATGAAATCTAACCTTGCTTTTATAGGATCATAAACAGTCCTCTCTTGTTGACGTCTCTTAATTCTTCTTTGCCATCTTTTAAAATATTCGGCCTATAAATAGATGATTATTACATATTGATATGACAAAAATTTGTTGTTCTGCAATCTGGCTATCTGCAACAACATAGATTCTTATTGATGTTGGTAAATTTTATATTAATTAGATTACGCTATTGGACTCCATTAGAAACTATTACTTTTCTTTTCTTATTTAACAATGATCAGGTTATGAAAACAGACAGTTTAAGTGATACATAGTTTTTATAATAGGTACCTTTTCAAAAATAGATCTGGATCTTCATGTTATAATTATAGATGCAGCAATATCAAGACTCTAGAGCAGATAGACAGACAGACAGGCAGGCTGACTGAAGGATGAACATGGATGCCAACAGTATATGTTAAGGAGGATGTATAATTAAATCCTGGGATATGCTGTTTTATAAATATCAATTTCAAGATGCCATTATACATATATACCTTAATCATTAACTGCTGTCTTATAGCATCATCTGCTGTATATAATTTCTGCAATAATCTAACACTATTTTCATTATCCAGATGAGATAGAATAATATCTACAGAACTATTTTCTTCACTGAAATAAATAGTCATCGACATAATTTCTGTAATTATCTGACACTATTTCCATTAGCCAGATGAAATAGAATAATATAAGAACAAATAAGTGTTTTCATATCCTTTCCTTTAGTTTATCTTTATGTTGGTACATGCAATGCACTTAGTGCCAAATTTGTGCTTACGTAAATTACCATTTAGAAATAACATCTAAAAGTGATAAACAAAAAATTATGTTACCCAGGTTTTTTATTTAATGAAGTATTGAAATCCCTTGTAGGTGTTTCTCTGGAATTATAACAAATAGAATTTGTTGATGTTCTGCTTGAAATATCTTCATTTCTTGATCTCTTCCCAGATTTTTCATTCAAATCATTATAACATTTTGCTTTCCTATGATTAATCAAATTCTGATAAACTGTTTTAAGAGGCAGATCTGATTCCTGGATTGTAGTTGATTTTTCACTTGAATTGTCATCATATTCTTCAGATATTAGCTGTGTGACAGGGGTATACAGATCTGACATTGTTAATGCCATTTCATCTTCTGAAGACTTAGAATGATTGTCCTCATCTTCAGTGAGCATGGAAGATGGATCATTTTCTGTGGAATTATGCTCACAACAGTCTTCATGCTTCAATGCTTTTGATAGCCAAGCTACATCTTCATTTTTCATTTTAGCAGCAATTGAGGTCTGGAAATTCCTACTGTTCTGAATCTGGTGGCAACTCACAGCAGACTGTTTTAGATTCTCAGAAGAATTAAAATTCAAGTCATCAAAATGTGACTCATTTTCTAAATCACTGAGAAATTCTTTGAAATTTTCAATATCATTTCTAAACAGGTCAGATTTAGCTTCTTTATTATATGGTTTTCCAAAATTAAGTTTGGCTTCAGGAACATAGTATGTTGGTTTCACTGATCTTCTTTCCTGGTTGCTTCTAAACTTAATGTCAATAGGTTTGGGTGACTTTGTGACTTTCTTTCCTGCATTAAGATTCTTTAAATGATCAACATGTCTATCCAAGGTCGAACAAAGTTTTCTTTGATCTGACAGTCTACGAGCACAACAATCAGCTTTGTAATCAGTTTTAGTCTGATCAGGTAAACTCTGTCTGGATTTTCTTTCAAGACTTTGAGACAGAATTCCACAAATTTCATCTAATTTTTTACCCCTTTCTTCAAAATTCAATGAATTTCTATCAGTAGCAATGAGATTTCCTGTTCTAGAATGAGATGAGACACGTCGATTTGGACTAGAATAACTCAAATTATTTATAGCCATTTTCATTTTGTCTGGTTTCTTTAAATCTGTGCGATCTAATTTGATTAAAGCGGAGCTGTAAATATAATTTCTCTCCTTTTGAGGTGTAACATGAGTAGATGCAGAAAGTGGTTTCCCATTCTCATTTACTTTGCTATTTATTTTAGATTGCCTAATCTGAAGTGATCGAACATGAATAGGTTTTGGCTTTTCCATTTTCTTTTTATGACATCTTGCTACTTGAGAATCTTTTGAAATAGTTACATCTCTCGCTATAATTGACTTTTCTGTCAATTTGGGATATGAGTTCCAATTATCGGTCTTCTGTGAACACCCCATACCGACCATGTGTACAACATTTTCTGACTGGTTTAGTCGATTGTTGATATCTTCATGCATTGCTTTCAGGCCAACAAATTTCACTTCTGTTCCAGTTTTTGTATGCTTCTCACATTGCTGATTTGGGTGAGAGTATTCAGACATCTTAGAATCGTATTTGGTTGGTGCAGAATGTTGGGACAATTTTTTTTCAGCTTTTGATTGTTGAGAAGGACTAGAATGTGACTGAGTTTGTTGTTGTTTTTTGATTGAAAGTTTTTCTACATTTATAGAACTATATGGACCTACTTCCCATGGTCCTATTGAGCTACAGTTTTCAATACGACTTAAATTTAAAGACACACAGTTACCTGCATCAAGCAGAGCTTGTTCAGGGTCAAAGTATAAAGTTCGGCCCGATTCATTTATATTGTCCCTCAAATCCCTTACATTCTGTAAAAAGTTACTTTTTTCACACCCACACCAAGATCTTTTGGCATCAGCTTCATTGAAATTTTCAGTAAGTCTTTTTGTTCTTGTTAGAGATGAAGGCTTTACAGGTTTTACTGTAACAAATTTTCTATCCACAGAATTTCTTAACTTATGTGAAGAGTCTGTATTTATGTTTTCAATGTCACTGTCAGAGTGATCTTCTGATATTTCTTGAAGATCAAGTTTTGGAACAATGTTAGAAGTAGAACGAGGCATTTTTTTTATTTCCTGAAACAATCTCTGTGAATCTCTTATCTTATAATCAGCAAGTGTGTCATCATCCATTTCATCAAGTTCTTTAATTGACATGGGACCAGCATCATGAATGGAAGAAGACTTACGGTGTGAGCGATGGTCTTGATGTTCTAAATTGAAAATGTCATGTAAATCACATGTAACATTCCGGGGAGATTCTCCTAGATATAAATTACTTTGTTTTAAACTCTTGTCTGAAAAATCAGTTGTTAAATTAAATATGGTTTCTTCACTGTGTCTAGAAGAGGAACTTCCTTGTGATGTCCTACTGTTTCTTGACCCTCCAGATACTTTTAAACTATCTTGTCTGTCCCCTGTATGGCGCAATTTACTTTGCTTCTCTAAGGAAGTGATGAAAAGATCTGTGTGATGTGGTTCTGTTTTCGGAATTTTATCATTAATTTCAGACTCACTATTTTTATCTAACTTGAAGGTTTGAGGTAACTGATCAGAATATGTAACATTAGCAACACGTTTTGTTACATCTTCAACAGCGGAATGGTTTCTAGAGTAATTTCGAACATCTAATTCAATGGACTCAGTAAGAAAAGTAGATGGTCTTAATTGGTTTGTAGACTGAGAATTGAAACAATGATCAGTCATCACATCTTGCAAAGCTCTTTGGCTTAGTTTCGTTTTTTTAAGATCAGATTCTATAGCATTAGCATTAAAGTCATCAAAATGTCTTTTTGAGTTAATTGCATGTGATCTCGTTTTATGTTTATAGTGCTTCCTTTCAGATTCTCTTGTAACACAAACATCTGGTGGGGCATACTTATCAGAATTCATTCTCAAATGACCATTTGTTTTTTGCTTCTCATGATGAAATTTTCTTGCTAAGGCATGTAAGTAAATGGCTTCATCTAGATCTTCCAAAGATTGGGTAAAACTGTGCATTTCTTGACCAGTATTCCGAAGGATATCACCATAACATTTTTTTGTATCAGTAATAGGATGGAATGTGGCAGAAATATCTTCTGGGTTTGCTTGGATTTCTGTTATGGACATATAATCAGTTTGGGTTTGTTTGGAGGGACACAGAAGATTAAGGTCATTTGGGTTTACTTGACTAGAACTTTCACAATTTTCCAAAGATAGCACATCTCTTTTAGAAGATTTTGATTTGGCTGAAGATTTGATTGATTTTTCACTTCTTGAGCTTAACATATCATCAGGGCCAATAAATAAAATTCCATCAACAAATTCTCGCCCATTTTCTTCAGGGTCAACTACAGGTGGAGTAACTTTATTCTTCGTGGGATTGCCTCTGTTATTTTCCCTAAAACTGTAATTTCTTCTCTCCCTGGACTGAGGACGAATAATGTGAAATAAAGATTCTTCAAATTCTTCACAGCCTTGAAGATATGCTTTTCTTGATTCTGTAGACAGCATTTCATAAGGCCTATGTTGGTTTTGAAAATCATTTATTCTCTGTTGTTCCTTTTCTTCATCTTCCCAGAATTCATCCTCTGTACCATAAATAACTGCCTCATCCCATGCCTCACGAAAAGCTGATCCCCCGTATACTGTGAACTTTGATGCCTGACAGCCATAACGAGTTGTTCTAGTGGGAGTTAGACAATCTTTATCAAATTCAAGACGTTTCTTGATATCTCCTAATCTTTCTTTATAGACATCTTTCAAACTATTTTTCTTTTCTTTAGTGGTAGATCTTTTTACTTTTTTAGTCGAATCTTTCATGTCGCAAAAATCACATTGATCTACCATTTGCTACATCATGTATAAACATGTCTCTATTACATCTTTTCATGCTTTATAACCTGAAAAGATAAAAAAAATAATAAATAGTAAGTGAAAATATCATTATTTGTATCAAGAGGAGAAAATAGTATAATAGCCAATACAGAAAAGCAGAACCTGATGTTTCACTCTATACGATCTTCAGGCTGTAATTGCAATAGCCAATAGAAAATATGTAAATAAATACGCGTTTTACAGTTGGCAATTTTGAAGTCCCTTTGGTGTTAATTTGAGATATATATATGTATAATATTGTAATTCAAGCCTCTTGTTATTACTACTATAAAAAAAATATAACATATCAATGATCAATTACTCATATTACAAAATTTATATAACTCTAGCCAATTTATATTAAATTACTTCATACACCAAGTATATTTAGGATCAAATTGTAAAGAGGTCTTTTTTCATCAACTTGAATAACCTGAAGTTTTAGTTTATACAATGACTTCATAACAATCTACCACATATAATCAAAAAACCTAATTTACTTAGTAACTTAACACGTTGACTGCCGACCTACGAATTAACTCGATTTTGAGGTCTGTCCCTGTTGCCAGGTACGAGTATACTCGCGTTTACGTATGCAAATTTTAAAGAAACTCTTTAGAACGTTCAAAACCAATTTGTGCAATGTTACTCATACTACGGCATACAGGGGTGTAGGCAAAGATGGGCTTCTGCAAACTGCCATCTTTTCGTCTTTTGTTTTGGGTTCTTGTGTTGTTTATTGTAAAATTCCTTATTTTGATCTCACAAGAAAGTATTTTTTTTACCCCAAATCTTGCTGATCCCGACCTTAGCCACTTCCGTCTGAGAGAATAAAGATAAAAACTTTTGGACTACACAAATGTCTGCGCATTCTACAATGTGTGTTGTGTATTGAAGGAAACAGGGGGATTTTCTTGAACAAAAAGACAAATAATTAGGAATTGAACATTACTTTTAATTGTTCTAATTTTTCACATCTGCGGATAGTGTAGGACCCAATAGATGTAAGACAATGGCCTCTCGGAGTTTCATTTTCTTAAAATTTCGATCGTTGTAAAGTATGTGTGCGTTCAACAGAGCTATTTCTAGAAAATGCATGCCTATCTTCTTATACCATCGAATGGTTTTTCGCAGGAGCACTGTAATATGAGAGCATTTGATCAGATCGATCCACGCCGGACATACCATTATTATAATCTCTTATAATGTTAGGTTTTACCGTGATCTTGCCATTTCTGTTTCTCACATCAACCATTTGAACTTGATGCATGTTTGATATGGTCAGAACGTCCCTCTTATCCTTCCACTTACAAACAACAATTCCGTCAGATCCTCTCCAGATATATTGGCCTTTCTTAAGCTTCATATTTACGACCTCTTTTGGATTTCCATGTCAATCGCCTCTACGGGTTCCACATATATAGGTTGAGCGTTCTGTCATGGTATTAGATAGCTGTACCGAGTTATAATAATTATCTGTATAGGCGACATGACCTTTGTCAAGAAACCCACTTAATAAATCCAGGACAGTAGCTGCTGATTGACCCGGATGATAGGGATCTTCTACAGGAGTTCCACTATAAATGCGAATTCTAAGAACGAGTCCCCTTGATTCGCATAATTTAATGCCATATTTGTGGCGCTTAATTTTGATATATTGTCTAAACATTAAACGTCCTCTCCATAGAACCATTGATTCGTCGAACCAAATCTGAGGAAGCTTCATCATGCATCCCGTCACCATCTGGACCAATAACAGGTGCATCCAATACATAACCTCCATTTGCCAATGCTTCAAGTATAGGTCCTGGATCACCTGTGGTTTGGTTAGAAAATTGTGCTTGTGCACAGGCAGAACTACAACCTCTTCAAGAGCCTCTTGTTCTTACAGTGAAACAACCACGACTATGAATTGGAATCGATCTACCAAGAGTACCCCTATCACCAAATACCCTTGCCCTACCTCTGACTGGCATCATTGGTGTTGGAACACTACCCTCGTCACTGAAAAGTAAAGAATGATCAATGACGAGAGGAAAAGTTTTAACATGCTTGTAATAAATCAGCTACAGTGTGAAAGTTTAAGATTTATAACAGTAGTTATATATGGTAAATTACCTAGATGTAGGCTACTTGAGTCCAATGATACCATCGGGTTTCCATCATAGTCAGATAATGTTGACAGGTCATCATCTGTACTAGACTTTTCTCTTGGCGTTTATGAGTCTCTTGATGCGCTTGAACTGGAGCTATCACTATCAGCGAAGGTTTGATCATTTTTCACTTCTTGGTCACTAGTCATCAGAATATCTGCTACTTGTTCGGCACTCAACGTGTTGGAGGTCGCCATGTTTAGGCAGAAATTTATGTGGAGAAGTCGATCTACTAGGCATGTGCCGTATATGACGTATAAGACGTGTATTGGTGCATTCTTAAAATCGAGAAAGATCTTTTTTCATTTGTCATTTTGTATTTGAAGATCGTAGTTTTGTAATGGAAACACAATGTTTCTTCGGATTGCGGGATTACGAGTCGTAATATGGCAATGGAAAAGTTCTATCAGGTTACATTGCCTGCATATGAGTCGTACAAATGCACTGGAAACAACTGTCTAGTTTCGATTGCTGAGATACGACTCGTACATTATAAGTTTGGATTGATCTGAAAGACCTCGGCAACACGTGTTGACCCCGCTCAAAAACCTTCAGCAGTGAACGTGTTAACTGTCTGTAATCATATGATTTATAAGTTTTTGTGTTCATGGCTTCAAGGAACTCATCTAGAACTAGTTTGGCTTTATTCCCAGCATGACCATGTGAAATATGACCAATTATAGTTATCTTTTCAATCATATAACATAACTTTTTCTAGTTTCAAATAAAGTCATAATTTAGCAACAGTTCTTATTTGCAACTGTATTATTAAGAGGTCTTTGGAACATTGATAATTATGCAAACAAAACATTCAAACATGGTAATCATACAGTGTCTTAGTTCGAATAAATATAGGTGTTCTTCTGGCTAAAAACATAAAATTTCACAAATTTTTAAACCCTCAATAAAATTTCCAAAAAAAGGTTTCAGATAATATTTCATTAATTTTTTGTTTTGTGATGGAATTTTAAAGATCCATCATGAAATTGGTAGACTATAGTCCTGTAAACTAAAAATTATCTTTAGGTGTGTATTAATCACAACTGATCTCTCCATTTACAAATAATAAGAGTCAACTTCAAAGTGTTAATCCAATAGCGAGTCAGATAAAACTGATAACATTTAATTAAAGGGCTCTCTTCTCTAAAACTACTTAATGCATTCAGTTTCTGTTGTAAAATTAGATTCATATATTTCATTAGATGATTTAACAAAATGCCAGAAGATCATAAAAGAAGTCCTCATTTGGCATTAATGAGCAGTTGGTAAGCATTCCAACTGAAGTACCAAGTGGTTGTCTAGCAAGATACGCCCACTTTCTTCGTACATTTTTGTATATCAAGGGCGGCCACATATCTGTGTCAAATCATACTAAACATCTAATTTGTGCAAGATATTGTTGATTTCAACAAACACACATTATTTAATAAAATTCTGACATAAAATGTCACCTCTATCGCATTAACAAGCCAACAAATTTTGACACGTTTTTTTCCTAAGTCAAGTGCAATAACTCAAATTACTAAGATCAAAAAAAAATCAAAATCAATCTTGACTAAGATCTCATCATTATAAATGATCATACCAAATTTCATTTAAATCGGATGAAAACTGTAGTCTCTATTGTGTTCAAAAAACAAATTTTGATAGTAAAGGGCAATAACTTGAACACCGTTCATAGAAAGATGGCCAAATTTGAACAAACCAAGATATTATCATTATAAATATTCATACCAAAGTTCATTTAAATTGTATGAAAACCGTAGTCTCTATTGTGTTTTCCTCAGCAAAAACATTCATCGAAATATCGTCAAATTCGAACTAGTCCAAAATATCATTAATATAAATGATCACACCTAATGTCATTCAAATCAGATAAAAACTGTTGTCTCTATTGCGTTTACAAGCCGATTATGGACGGACGGACTGACAGGGGAGATGACAATATATGACCATATTATAATGTGGGTGTATAAAAAGTGCTTGTAATTTAATGAGAGTAAACTTTCTTCCAAATCAAATTCATAGAGATAAGTTTTTTTTTAAATATGTTAAAAGTTAATTAAAGGTTTTGAATTACCTTCATTTACTTTGCCTAACATATTGTTGGTGTAATTGTTTCCAGTCTTCTCAACGGGCTATCTAGAATTGGTCAAAGGAACAACCTCAATCAGTTGATTATTAACAACTTTTCTTATATGGTTAATTTACTTTCTCCATATTTTCTGGGGTGTTTAAACATAACAGCCATACCTTATTACTTGAACCAACTCATTATCAACAGATATATATAGCTAGGATGTAACCTAATCCAGATTATCTATAGATTATAGGATTAACAGTTTAAAGAGTCACATAGTCAGACTTAATATCCTCCAAGATTTGTAACATAGGTACAAGAGAATGTACAATGGAGAACCCAAAATATTGAGCCCACTACAATGGTACATAATTCAGGAAAATTGTGTTTTATCCAATATCTTTACATCAAAACTTTCATATAGAAGTATAAGATTATTTTTCAAGCAATATGTTTAATGATCATATGTTTCTATATAAACTTATACATTTATATTGGGTGTTTACTTTACGTGTCAGTTAAAGGTGAAATTTTAAAAAAATAATCAAAATGATAATCGGATGTCAATCACAAGCAAAAACATTGAAAAAAATAAGATACACTTGCCTCAACAATAACAACAAGACACAGTAGCTCACTGAAAACTCAATGTAATTCTTTAGTTCATTCATATAAATAAATAACCTCATCTATATAAATACTTAGGATAAGATTGGATAATCCTCCCTCCAATAACAGAAATCTGTTGAAACTTGTTATATTACTCATTATATTAAAATTCCTTCCTTCTAAATAATTATATGGAAATAATCAATATCCACAGACTATGTTACAATATATGACTGTAATGGCATAATATTTCATGTACCGGTACATTTTATGGTGGTGCAAATATAGATATCTAGTACGTTTTTATACAATGAAGTATGATAATTAAGAAAGAATAATAATATCTAACTTTGTACCTCTAAAAAAATACTGAGTGTTGTTGAAATTCTTTTATTAATTCAGTGTAATCAGTGTAATGTTCAATGGAGTGAAACAATAAACAGCACTTAGATAAAAACTGTAGGTTACTGTAGTTCTGATCTACAAATTCCTTCCAAATAGATATAGGTACAATAGATACATTAAATGATCATTACCTTTACTGGACATCCATATATAATCAAATACATTGATAGTCCATACAAATACACTCAAACAGTAGGAGATGTCCATAAAATATTCTACTCAAGTCATTCAATACAGGTGAACAAAAATAAATAACTTACATGATCAACATAAGTCAAGTCCATATCCCAATAATTTTATTTAAAGTTGTACTTTTAAACCAGGCAATCCTTTCTCGGTCTGGACCAATTCGCAATAAAATGTGTCCATTTGCATTACAGTAAATCAAATGATTTGAGACTTACAGGTTTGGGTGAAGTCCGTAAAGCCCCAGTCTCACATGCCCGGACTTCAGCCCGGGGTAGTCCTGGACAATATACCCAGGTACATCACTGACAACCACCTGGATTTTTGGGTGACATTTCAAGAAAAATGTCAAAAATAGTCTTGCAGTTACATATACCTGGACAAGACACAGATGAGCAAAGGAGCATTTTGTCTGGGGCTACTCCAAACTGAAGCTCGGTCATGTGGGACTGGGGCTTAAGCTTACCTGATATATGACTAATGTCATTGACTAAATTTGAAAAATTTGAACACACCTGAAAAGCCTGCAAACCATGACTTTAATTAGAGAGTATAAATAATAATCTGGTTTATTGAACTCTGGTCAGGGCACCATAAATTACCTCTATTCATATCTATTGACTATCAATCAGTCTAAATACAACCTACAATCTACCTACTTTAGTCAGTTTGTCTCTTACAATATATCTTATATCAATATTGACACAGGCTAGAAAAAAATTTGTTAACCAACTTAGTTATTCTTACAACTATTTCTGTGTTCTTTATGCTTGAATGATGGACAAAGTTTTGATATAGGTCATTTCATTTAGGTTTATAGAAGAGGTAGCTATATGTTACCTACACACAAAATCCCTAATTGATATATGCAGTAATTTTGATCTTACTTACTGTCGAAATTGTTCATTGATTAATGTAGACAGCAGACTAGATCTACTCTCAGTCTACAATGTTTTCTGAATTGAATTGAAACAATCGTTTTCATATGAATTGAAATATCAACTACAAAATACGACTGAGAGTCTTAGATTGTCTTTGGGTTTCAGTCCGAGAAGTGGGTCATTTTCATGTAAATTTTCTAGAAGGAGAGTGTATCTATTTTAAATGTAAATTCACCGAACCTCATATTTCTATGGACCTGAAAACTATGGAGGGGGATCGTTGCCAGAAGTATTTACAAAGTTAAACTTGAAAACAAGGCCTCGACTTTACACAGTTACATAGTTATATTTCAACATTACACAATTACAAAATAAACCTTCCTAAAATCAAAAAGTCTATGTACAGTGGTGTAACCTATTTTCGTGGATATAAGGATTCAACACCGAATTTCATCAAAGTTAAAAAAACGAAAAAAAAATGTCTTAGATGTTTCCTCAGATATTCTACAAAATAATAATTTTTTTTTGTATGTCTTAGATGTTTCTTCAGATATTCTACAAAATAATTAAATAATTTTCTTAAAGGAAAGTTTGAATGGTGTCTGACGTGAAATAAAGTTTGAAAGTAAACTATCAATATCTCTGCTTTGTAATAAGTACAGTCAAGTAACCTAATTTCGTGGAAACCTATTATTCATGGATTTCCGGAAAGATTAATAATTTACATGAGCGACCTTGCACGACCTCCGCATTAGTTTGTTTTGATAAACATGGGTTTCTCTACAATATCAGCTAGTAGTAGTTTCAAGCAAGGTAAAGTGTAATAATGTATACTACGACAAATACAAAATGGCGGATTTCACTTATTACCAAACGTCACTATTTTTTATCGGCCGAATTTCCTTATAATCCCAAGCGGTACGGTAATAGGAATTCCAACTGTCGTCTGCTAGAATATATTCCAACGAATGAAGTCACGTGATCGATTCCGTGTCAGCAGAAAATTTCTATGAAACACAAAGTGGGCCACATTCTTATGTTGTTTCAGTGACTTTTAGCAATAAATCACGCTACGTATCTTATTTTGTCAGTTGCTATTATTTTTTTTAAATCGTGGTTCTTTGAAGGAATTGTCACTAGTTATAATGAATTGATATTAAAGATAACTAGACTTATTTATAGATCAAACATTGTACACAAAATTAGGTGACGCATTCTGCCGCCGTTGCCTTGTTGATTGCTCATGAAATATGGGTCAAAGTGAAGGATTCATAAAGAAAATCGAAATAAACCAATTTTAATTATTTTGTAGAATATCTGAGGAAACATCTAAGACATACAAATTTTTTTCGTTTTTTTAACTTTGACGAAATTTGGTGTTGAATCCTTATATCCACGAAAATAGGTTACACCACTGTAAATTTATTTCAATTTCAAATAAGCTTTAAAGATGAATTGCCCAGTTCTTGATCCTCTCAAATCAACAATCACTAGACTGCATGAAAGATGCAAACTAACAAAATAAATTCTGCACAGCTCAAAGTTTTGCAAAAGTTAAGATTACCAATATCCATGTACAAAGCAAATAAAATGTGATTGTCGTTTCATTTAAATTGTGTTTTTGAAACAACGTTTAAGAGAGTGTGACTGTATTGAGAAGTAACTTAGTAAGTGTAAAACATTACAAAAGCACTGGAAGTAGACTGTACAACTCACATTTTAAGGATTAATAGTCTTGGGTGGTATGGTACTTCAACAACAACAAAAAAATATTCATAATTTCCGCTCTTTCATGGAAGCATGTAGTTTCTCGTTTTCAGAAATTATTCATCACGACTTCTATTCGCCATAACACCGGTAAACAATACAAGGGAAGTTACTCTGTTTTTGTAGTATTTAAGAGTCATTTCCCTTCAAAGGTTCTGCAGAGTTTATTATTACCTCTATGGAGTCTGTCGAAACTGTCGTATAAATTGTTTTTCAGAAGTCATTTTTGAAAAACAAGTTATACGTGCTAACTCACACCAGTATCGGGACATATTTTATGCATTGATTGAATCTGAATATTCAAGGATAACCCGAATCAACATCTCTGGAGGTGAAATTAAACCTACGAGACAAATGTTTCTTTGCAAATTCTGACAAAGTTTTAGACAGGAACAGAAGGTTAGGTTACCTGTGGAAAAGTTCAATGCATCACGGAAGATTGTAAATGCAGAGATAAAAGATTGGAATGTACGTTAGCGAATATAGTCAACCGCAGCTGTACAGTGGCGTTTGTACTTTAAGGGGGAGGGGGGGGGGGGGGGGGGGGGGCCTC